TGAGGAACTGCTTTCTAAATTCTCATGTCTTCCTCAAATGTTTGAGGCAACAGATTGTTAAGAGACTCAAGTAGTCTTTTTTTTTTGTTGTTGTGGAAAATGGCCAAGTATGTCTGTTGTCCGTCCATCCCCACCCTTTTTTGATATATGGGTTCTGGTACTGTTTTAATGTTATTCTCTTTTCTGCTTGCTAATGTCTGCCAATACATGCCTGGCATTAAGCCCCTTCAGACCAGAGAAAAAAAGGAGTTTGCTTTTATCCTGAAGCATTGATGAAAGGTGGTTGTGCATCAGCTGTTGGAAATGTTAACAAATGGCTCATACTCAGCTGAATATAGACTGTGGTACAGACTGCTCACAGCTGCTTCACTCTTCTCTTTTTGGGGCAGGCTTCTATACCCTCTGGAGTTTTCCATTTCTCTCCATTTTTCTTTGTCTTTTTCTTTCCCTGTTGACTGCCACCCACATGATTTGTCTCAAAAGTTCTTTCTCCAGCCAAAAAAGACTGGCGACTGTTCACTTAAGATGCCCTTTTAGAGTCTTCTGGTGAGAATCATTAGAAACCATTCACGGAACCACAGAATGGTTGATGTTGGAAGGCATCTCTGGAGGTCATCTGATCCACCCCCCCTGCTCAGCCAGGGCCACCTAGAGACAGTAATCCAGGACCAGATGGCTTTTGAATATCTCCAAGGGTAGAGACTCCACAACCTCCCTGGGCAATCTTTTCCAGTACTCAGTTACCCTCACAGCAAAAGAAAGCGTAGCTCTCCTCTTCTGCAGGGGAAGAGGAAGAGATCCACAAGAGAAGGGGCATAGACCCACAAGCTCACTACGTGGATCTTCTAATAATGTGGCAGTCGTGTCATTTTACTGTTGCCAACCTGCTATGTCTGCTTACTGTTCACATGGTGATTTGGCTCAGCCCAAGAATCGGTTTACGTTCGACTACAGCTTTCTCTGTAGCAATTGAATAAATTTTGTTTTATCCTAATGAATTAAATACAGGAGCAAGGTAATTCTCCTCATTGTTCTCTCAAAAGACATCCTATATGTATGCTGAATAGTTGGTTTTTTCACAGATGCACCTCAAGTATAACTTGACTACATGAATCACACTGATGTGTAGAATTTAATTGCATTGTTTTACTTTAATCTTCTTCAAAGAGCCAACAGCTTTTGAGTGCTATATATGGAAATATTTGTTAAATCACTTTGCATACACTGCAGCAGCATCTAAAAAAAAAATAATCACACTTTATCACCTTACCGTGTTTTTTGTGTAATTCAGTTCATTAAGGCATTTGATGTTTATTTCCTTTTGCCCACAACAGATTTTAGCTGAGCTTGGTGGTGCCTCATTAGGAGATTTGTCATTGAAGTTTTAAGACTAATCGGGGTCTTTTAGTGTGCGCCTCTGTCCAAGGGGGGCTTTCAGTGTTTTGTATGGAATGCACTGCAGATTAAATGTTGCATTTATCCATTGATGCAAGTTGAGATCCATTTATCAGTTACAGAAAGAGGATGAAAACTATCAGTAGAAAAAAGCCTATTCTAGTCTCTGTCCTAAATGATAAGGAATGCACCTTAACAGCTTCCTTTTGGCTGCAGTTGGCAGGCTACACACCATTTCAGATCTTAAGTGATGAGTTAATATGGTATTTTATTAGCTGTGCTATTTTGGTGAAGGGAGTTGTGCTTTTGGCCATATTGTGAGGCCTGTTTGTATTTTTATTTTGCACCCTCCTGGTTTCAGTTAATATGCTAGAGTAGAGGTGAACTTCTGGGAAGATGGATGGCAGCAAAATATGAAGTAAAGACGATATATATGTACTTATATTGAACTGCATGCGACATCTCACTGTTGAAGTTTTACCCTGGCTGCTACTAGAAGACAGTCTAATGGTTAGTTAGCATTTCTTGCCTGTTGCCATGAATTTGCTGCTGCTAAGAAGGCTCTGTTACTTACGGCACAGAAAAATCCTCCCAGTCAGAGCTGCCCTTCTGCATCCAAGAGAAGTCTGCTTGGTTCATAGGTGTTCAGCCCACAAGACTGGGGGGAAGGATGTTTGGGAGAGAGAGAGCAAACAATAGAATGGTTTAGGTTGGAAGGGGCCTTGATGATCATCTTGTTCCAAACCCCCTGCCACTGTCAGGGACACTTCCCACTACACCAGGTTGCTCAAAGCCCCATCCAGCCTGGCCTTGAACACTTCCAGGGAAGGGGCATTGCCTTCTTAGCCAGAATATAAGCCATTAAGCATTTTATTGCTGCCTGATTGCACATTTTGGATCTCCATTCCCACTGTGCTTGAACAGCCATATAATGTAGGAATGCCACAATAAGGTCTCCCCACAGCCTTCTCTTCTCCAGGCTGAACAGCCCCAACTCTCATCCTTTCTTCATAGCAGAAGTCTTCCAGCCCTCTGATCATTTTTGTGGCCCTCTTATGGACCCACTGTAATATGTCTATGTCTGTCTTGTACTGGGCACCCCAGAGCTGGATGCAGTACTCCAGGTGGGGTCTCAGCAGAGCAGTGTAGAGGGGGAGACTTGCTTCCCTTGACTGTTGGCCGTGCTGCTTCTTATGCAGCCCAGGACACAGGTGGCTTTCTGGACTGCAAGCACACATTGCCAGCTCATGTCCAGTTTTTCATCCATGAATATCCCCAAATTCTTCTCCGCTGGGCTGCTCAATCCATTCATCCCCAGTCTCTTCATACTGGGCATTGCCCTGACCCAGGTACAGGACCTTGCACTTGGTCTTTTTGAACCTCATGAGGTTCATGAAGTTCAACAGCTTGATGTCATCTGCAACATCCACGGATGAACATGGATTTAAATAATGCATGTTGCTGCATCCCTGGATCCAATCTTCATCTGGTGTATTTTAGTCACCAGCTCTAGTATTTGAATTATACTTTTACTGTCCATATCTGTAAGTAGTTGGAAATGTGGTAGTTTGATCATCATCCTGCTGATGCATTGTTGTAAAGGAAATGGTGTCTTGTTTACTTAATGTGGCACTAGTTTGGCTCCAGCACCTGAGAATGCATGATGAACTTTCGAACCTGCAGTATAGCCTGTGGGATTGATACTGTTTCAAATAAGTGAGCATTTGGGGTTTGCCTGGACATGATGTAATGAGATAATTGCAGAACCATTTGGCTTTTAACCGCAGATACAGTCTTTTTTCTTTTTTCTTTTTTTTTAATGTACTGCCTTTAGCTTAAAAAATAAAAAGACATTAATCTTTAAAAAGACATTAATCTTCAGTTTCTGCTACTTCTTCAAGTAGTAGAATCGTAGGTTGCTGGGCTGACACAAAACTCCCCTGAAACTTAGTTTTCAGGAATGCCAGTGTTATTTTTAACTGTCTCCAGCAGGAGGCTTTTTGTCTGGAAGGAATCCAGAGGTTTATGTTGTAGCATGTGTTCAAACTCACATAAGCTGCTAGATAGTCTTAGAGTTCTTGTGAAGTTGTTTTCCTCTGCAGCTGAAGATATCTGCACTTTGGCATTGCAAGACAGATTATGTTACAGTGATGATTTTTGTGTATAGCATAGGTAAATGTAGGATGCAGCAATTGACTGCTCACCTCTGCTGTTTGGCTGGTGGTAGCTGGAAGATCTAGTGCATGTCCCGTGTGTGTGTGGTGCGTTGACCTTGGCTGGATGCCCACCAAGCCGCTCTTCAGCTGGACAGGAGAAAGAAAATATAAGGAAAGGCTAGTGGGTGGAGATAAGGACAGGGGAGAACACTCAACAAAACAGACTCAACTTGGAGAAATTAAATTTATTGGCAACCAAATCAGAGTAGGGTAATGAGAACTAAAACCAAATCTTAACCTTTCCTCCATCCCTCCCTTCTCCTGAGCTTAACTTCACTCAGGTTTTATCTACCTCCTCCCCCACAGTGGTGTAGGGTGATAGGGAATGGGTGTTGAGTTCAGTTCTTCACGCTCTTCCCCTGCTCCAGCATGCTCTCTACAGCTACCTGAAAGGAGGTTGTAGCGAGGTGGGGGTCAGTCTCTTCTAAATATCAATCAATAGGGTGAGAGGAAACAACCTCACGCTGCACCAGGGGAGGTTTAGACTGTATATTAGGAAAAATTTCTCTGCTGAAAGGATTGTCAAGCATTGGAACAGGCTGCCCAGGGAACTGGTTGAGTCCCTGTCCCTGGAGGTTTTTAAAAGTGGATGTGGTGCATAGGGACATGGTTTTGTAGTGAACAACAGTTGGAATTGATGATCTTAAAGGTTTTGCCAACCTAAATGATTCTATGATTCTATTTTATGATTCTATTGTAGTAATCAGTTATGAAATAATTAACAATATACGTATATATATATACACACACACATACATCTGTGGGGCTTATCCCTTCTCCAGTACTATTTTGCTTTCTCTGCAGTTTTAGGAATACAAATTTATGTAAGTCAATAATTTTTCCACATCTTAAAGATCTTGTTTATCACAAAAGTGAGAAAAACTTAATTCTTTTATGGTTAAAATGCAAAATTTCAGAAAGTGCAGATTCTTCATGGTCTTGTTGTGCCCTGACTGATGGCCTCTGTTCCATGTGACTGACTGCTGAAGGCACTTGTTTCTGGGGAGAGAGTTCAGTAACAGGATCAAGACATGAATGGAGATTAAAAATCTCCTGAACCTCACTCACATGCCAAAAAATATTCCCTTTGTGGTGGTCTTTGCACGTTTGAACCGATGCAAGTTGAATTCATATTGGTTAGTTAAATTCATATTGCTTAGGTTTTTCTGTAGAGAAGAAGTGAGATAAGGCATTTTCAGTCTTGTTGTTCCAATATACTTCTTTTTCAACAAAGGTAGAGGTACACTCTTTTGAAAGAAGCATGCTGTGAATTTCAGTAGATTCTTGTGTAAAGACAGAGGAGTTTTCAAATTATGATTGATATTGCCATTCTAATTGTACCCACCTTAGACAAGATTATTTTTTCCTTTTTTCTCATGCATCCCACAGGTCATAAATGTTGATGGAACAATGCGGAAAACCCTCCTAGAAGATAAGCTTCCACATATATTTGGTTTCACGCTGCTGGGAGATTACATCTACTGGACTGACTGGCAGAGACGAAGCATTGAAAGAGTTCACAAGATAAAGGCTAGCAGAGACATCATTATTGATCAGCTGCCAGATTTAATGGGCCTTAAAGCAACAAGTGTTACCAAAGTGTTTGGTAAGCATGAGCAACCATAGGATGGATCTATAGTAGTTTCTAGATGGGCTTGTTTTCATTAAACAACTGTTGATCACTTGTAGTGAGAATAACTGTGGTCTCCTATGTTTGGATCATTTTAAAGGGAAACTGCACCTGTTGTTTATTAAGTTGGGAAAATACAGTGTTGCAAAAGAAGTATGTTCTTAGTGACATTTGAGATAAGTCTTCCACAGTTTCCACTACACCTTTTGAATATTTGTGAGGAGAATTTTTTTCCTTCCTCCATTCTATAGGAATCGTTACTTCTGGTGCTCACAGAATTGCTCCATTTTCTGTTGCTCTTTTCTTCCAGTATGAAGTCCCAGTGATGTTCAGTTAGCAGAATGCTTTTAACTATGTTGGGTGGCACAGTTAGTGGCCATTACAACGTTGTCTCAAAGCACGTTAAATATTAACTTTAACACCTAAATTGTACTTAAATCTTAACAATTAAATCTTACCCCTAGCATGGGATCAGAAGCTGGAGCTCCATCTTCTTCCACTGCATCTTCTGAAAGGTCCAGCCAGTGTTTTATGTCCTCTGCTAGCATTCTGCAGAGGAGTATGTCACAGGGCCTCCTGGCTTCAGTAGTAGCTCATGAGATGTACGTGTTCACCACAGATCTGTCTATTACCTGGAACATTGGAGCCTGGGCATAGCAGTAAACAGATTTGTTGGTCAGCTTTTAAAACTACTGAGAATAGTTGCAACAGAATCACTTAAAGTAGGTTGTCAAATTACACGCTGCCAGTACGTGGATTTCCAGCCTTTCAGGAAGCTTTATTTGAAGGATAATCAAGTCCTCAAGCTGCAAGTTACAGCATCAGTCTGAAATATGTATGCCCTAAAAAGGGAAAATTAAAAGAAACCTGGCTAAGGCTAATCTTGGAGATTTTGTGTGTGTGTGTGGGTTAACAGTCTTTAAATACCTCAATGCTTAGTTCCAGGAGGTGGAGAAAGGCACTGTTTTGGTCCTTACTTTTCCCTCCAGATTCCCTCCCCATCCAGTCATGGTTGTTCACATGAAAAAATAAGTGCGAGATCGTGGTGAACTTGTTGGAACTGTTTCCGCTAATGAATGTTCTCAGCTTTAAATTAAACAGCTGGGAAAGAACTGCAGTTGTCCAGCTCTTTTCTCACCATTTTGTATCATTGAACGTTTGAAAAACTGTTGGTTTCAAAGAGATACAAAGATGGGGTACTTGGCCAAAAATAATCAATCTGAACATGTATGTAATTATCTGTCTTCAGTGAAGGAATTTAATCTTTGGGGAAACTAGAAAGATATGTTTGTAGCTGTTATTTGTACTGTGGGAGGGATAGGATCAGCTTCCTAATGCTTGGGTAGTAGGGGAGAAACAGTTTTCAATGTTTTTTTTATAGAATTCACTGCTGACAACCCATAGTGCTAACTTATTTTGAAAAATTATAATTCCACTGTATTTCTGCTCAGTTTTCCCCCCACCCCCTTTCTCCCCTGCTTCCACAATGTTCCAATATCTGTTTTGTTTTTTCCTAAAGGAACTAATTCATGTGCAGAGAACAACGGAGGCTGCAGCCATCTGTGTTTCTTTACACCCCAGGAGACCAGGTGTGCCTGTCCCATTGGCCTTGAACTTTTGAGTGACATGAAGACTTGCATCATTCCTGAAGCCTTCTTAGTTTTCACAAGCAGAGCAGCAATTCATAGGATTTCCCTTGAAACCAATAATAATGATGTTGCTATTCCTCTAACTGGAGTCAAGGAAGCATCTGCTCTGGATTTTGATGTCTCTGATAACAGAATCTATTGGACTGATGTTAGTTTGAAGGTATTACTGACGCGTGAATTCCCTGAATATAAAGCCACAGAGCAGTTCCTTTGATCTAGCAAAGGTCTCAGTTACACGATCTGTCCTGCAGTTGCTAATGTTGTCATTGAATTGCATCCAAGGAGACTCTTGGAGATGAAGACAGTTATATTGTTGAATGCACAGTTGGGTGACAGGCATCTTCCTGCTTCAAATGAAAATCCAAATTGGTGTCTGCTTATACCAAATGCCTAAGTCTTGGATGTTGCATGTGTTGCATCCATATATGTATCTATTGTAGAAAAGCTGTTTTCATGTCACATAGTAGAGTCATTGAAACATCAAGCTTGGCAACCCCCCGAGCTTTCTATCCTCTTCCAGTTTTGACTTGGAAGACAATCTTAATATTTGGCAAGTGGACTTTGGATTGGTTGCTGTTAGTCTGTGGCTCCAGCTTGGCACAGAAAAAGCCAGGGAACTTGTCCAGTCTCCTCCACACTGTGTTAAGCCCCTGCCTGCCCCCATTTCTATCTCAGTATGTTCCCTGGAAGTTTGACATTTCCTGTGACATGTTTGGTTCACATCCAGGTGCACGCTGAAGTGGGTGTTGTGCTGTTCATCAGTGCTTTACCTCTGCTGGGCAGCTAAAGTGAGTGTTGTGCTGTTCATCAGTGTTACTTCGCTTTTTGAAGTGAATTAATGGTAGAAAATGGCAGATTCACTTCACTGGAACTGAATTCCTCTGTTTAGCCTTTTAATAGGTTTTCCAAGAGCAGTGAAAGTTTCCTTGCCAATGTGCCTAAGCCATAATAGGGAAAAGCTCACTTTTAGTGACTGCAGGGCATGTGCAGTTTCCATAGCCTCTCTGTGAAGACTAATGAGGGTTGTGCTTCAGCATTAACCGTGCTGCTTGTGGTGTGGATACTTCTCCTTCAGGAACAGTGCCAATGTAATAAATTAGCTTACTGCAGACACAGTTACTAAATAAATCTCATGCAAGCACGTGGAGAGCTGGAGCTGTGGTTGTCTTAACCATTTGTAGTGGAATATACATTACTCAACTGCATCAGTGCATAGATCCCAGTCTCACTCTGTGCAGAAACGTTTTACTTCTTTGTGGCCTCCTGAATTATCCAGCATACTGTATTTTCACATACGTATCATGTATGCTTCAGCATGTCTGGGTTTTCATTCTCCCTCCTCCTCACCTCCTGCAGTTTAGCAGCAGGTAATGTTACTTCAGAGCTCACAGTCATCTCCTTTCCTTTGGTGACCACCCCTGATCTCCTCCTGCCTCTGGTTATATGAGGACTCATTTTTAAAAAGGGGTTATACTCTTTCTAAGATGTGGGTTATACCTATAAAAATATACTACGTGATTTCTGTTTCTGATAATTAGCTTTAAAAATATAAAATATCTCTTACCCTGATACACTCATTTATCAAATTATTAAGAAATTAATAGCTGAAATATTAGCAGGCATATAGAATGATTGCTTAGTGTTGGTAACAAGGGTAGGTAATTGTACATTGGTCCTGGAAGTTATCGGTGATTTACCTGGGGGTTGTTGCAATGCTTCTTGTTAGAAGAGACTGATTTATATGTACACAGTCCTCACCCTATGAATTTTGTTGAATGTGCATAACCAAAATGCAGATGGGATCAGCAAACTTACTGCAAGTGACCGATCATGAGAAACAATTTAATTCATATTTCTCTGACTTGTGATGTGTTTCTGATACTTAAAACATTACAGCAAATTAAGTGATTTAAAAAAACCCAAATTTTTGTGTGCAAATAGAGGAGAGGGAGAAGGGGCAAGGAAGAATCTGCAGACACATAGTGCTTTCTGAAAATCATATCCTTTTAAGGTATCTTGGACTTACCATCAGAAATCACCAGCTTTCTGAAAATTCGTGTCTTTTTATCCTGTGAATTGCTAAATCTGTTTTGACAACAAATTTATTTTAAAAAATGTAACACTGGCTGATTTTTTTTACTAATTTTTTTTTGTACACTAAACTCCATAATAATTGTTCCTTTTTATTTCAGTGGGGTATCCATAAATGCTGTAATATTTTTACACAATTGTTTTCCAGACCATAAGCCGAGCTTTCATGAATGGCAGTTCAGTTGAACATGTGATTGAGTTTGGGCTAGATTATCCTGAGGGAATGGCTGTAGACTGGATGGGAAAGAACCTCTACTGGGCAGATACTGGAACCAATCGCATTGAAGTAGCCCGCCTGGATGGACAGTATAGGCAGGTCCTTGTGTGGAAGGACTTGGACAACCCGAGGTCTCTGGCTCTTGATCCTACCAAAGGGTAAGGGACAGTGTTGTTTATCAAAGCTTTGTCTTCATGTTCTTGTATGTGACAAGTTAATTGGCAGTTTATGTAGCTCCATTTCTTCAGGGTCTTTGAAAAGATGATAAATGCTCCACAACGCTATGGGTTACAATGAAAAATTACAAATGGTCAATCATATTTTTCTGCCTTTGTCTAAAAAAGGAGTACTGTAATACTGCACATAACCACATGGGTTATTCCTTTTTTTTTTTTTTTAAGGGACTGAAAATAAATTTAGAAAAATCAAGGCATGCAGGTAAATACAATCTTACAGAGCTGATGTACTCTTGTTGTTCCACTTCTCCCTGCAGATACATGTACTGGACTGAATGGGGAGGTAAACCTAGGATTGTTCGAGCATATATGGATGGAACAAACAGCATCACTTTGGTGGATAAAGTTGGTCGTGCCAATGACCTCACTATTGATTATGCAGACCAAAGGCTGTATTGGACTGACTTAGACACAAGCATGATTGAGTCATCAAATATGCTAGGTAATCTAGTGTTCTATTACACCTGCTGGTACAGAAATATGCACTGACAATAGTAAGGCAATTGAATAATATGAAATTGGAACAATATAATTTATATTAAATATGTGTGTGCATTTTTCTTATGAGGGGAAATGGAGAATTAAATTTTTAAGGAGATAAAATGCTCCCTAAATTAATAACCATATGATGATTTATAATGATGGTGAGATATGATGTCATTTCCCTGTATTGATATGAAACTGCCTGTGTTTTACCAAAGCAGGGATAACCCCTTAGTTTCTTGAAGTGAGGACAACTTACAGGTTCACCTAAGCCACTCCTGACTTTTCAGTCTGTACACTAACTTTCTGTTGAAGTATTACCTCTGTTTCCAGATTAAGACTAGTTGTATGAGTTCAAAACCAAAACCAAAATACTGCTTGCATTTCCTGCAGTCTGAGAGATTGTGCAGCTGCTTCTGCAGTGTATCATAACGTGTGATTAAAACTCTGTCATGCGTAAAGTAAAACAACTTTACCCATTTTCATATCTTCCAGTGGAATTTCATTTATACATACAAGGAGTATGCTAAGATTTACTAAACTTTCATGTTGATATTGACATGATAACTAACAGGATAAAAGAAGAGAATTTTGTTTTCTGCAGCTGATAGAGCTTTTTTATGGTCCAGATGTTTTCTAAATATTAAATGGTCCTCAAGATTTTAGCTGCAGCAAATATTAATTCCTTTTTGAGAAAATGTAGTTTGTATAAGTTTCCAAATGCCACACAGTGAATCAATGGTAGGATTAGAAATTGAATCCAGAAGTTCTTGACCTGCCATTCTATCTCTGTTCCATTTCTGAGGAGAGACCTTTGTGAGATGGCAATTAGTGCCCCTGGGATTCCAATGTAAAAATCAAAGTTTATCTGGCAGAACATATGGTATTTAAGCAAACTCATACAGGATTGTTGCAGCAATGCTCTGATTGCTGACATATATGATTTCCCCGCAACATTTTTTTTCTTTTTTTCAGTTTTTTTTGTTTTTTTGTTTTTTTTTTAAATGTGTTATTGTGTATGCATATCTTCAGAGTATAGGGAATCTGCCAAGCTCTTTTAAAAAATAGAGCAATGCAGTTCTGGATTCTGAGGCTATCACTGATTTTGCATTTCGTGTATTTGTTGCTTTGGTATGACGACTAGTGAATGAATGTTACTGTTTAGAAATTGCTGTAAGATTGTTTCTTTAGATTTCTAGAGTTGTTGTTTTTGTTTTCCATCCCTAATGCATGATCTTTCAAAGCTATCACTAAGCTTGCTTAGAGAAACAAAGTAGCCAGAGGCAAGTGTGAACTAGAAACTGATTGGGGCATTGGAAAGAAACACAATATTGAAATCATCTTAAATGATGGTAAATCAAACTGGTTCTAAAGCTGAACCTACTGTTAACATTTATTTGTGGTGAGGAAGCAGAAGGATGAGTGCTGAAGCTAGCGATGTTGTGTGCTGTCTTAGCAGATTATAAACACTTGGGTAGCCTGCTAGCAACTGGGCTCATCACTTACAGAAATGTTACTAGACTTGGTCTACGCTATGTAGTGCCAGTCTCCTTGCCAGGAGAGATCTGAATGAGTGTTGCTAATAGAAATGTCCACCAGCAATGAACAAAGCACTCTTAAGTGGATGGATGAATGCTGTCCCAGCTTAATCTTGGGCATTATAAACATTACCCAGTAGGAAAAAAACCCACTCTTTTGGAAGATTTTCCTTCATCAAAATTCAGCTAGACAGCTTATCTGCTTCCTTCAAAAGAGCCTATCCCCTGAATTTATCACTGCAGACCAGAAATGCTCTAAGATATGTGCAGGATGTCTGTGGCGCCCTGACTTGGATACTTTAGATGCCTAAAAGTAGTTGGGAAGGTTGCCTCTATATTTAGTTCTGGTGGTTTATATGGAAATGGCTTCATGTTCTAGTTTCTGGGTTTTTCATTCCTTCTCCAGTCTTGGCCAAATGGGAGAGGGCATGATGGAAAGTAGGCAGGGGAAGAAAAATTAGGTGTTCTGTAGAATCTAGCACTGGATGTTTATTTGAGGCAGGAGATGATGCTGATGATGGCACATGTTCATTTGATGTAAAGTCGCAGAGGTTCATAGATGTTTAGGCTTGAAAATGTTTAGAAAGGTGATTTACAGTAAGACTTTAATAGTGCATCTCTGTCAGAGGCCATCTAATGCTCTAAAAGGTGTTAAATCTGTTGGGAATGTTGCTAACTGAGCCACTGAGTATGGGAGTATTGGGATTTCTGCCAAACAAATGGTTTCCTAATTTCGTGGTGTAGATGTATGTTAAATTGCACTGCAGAAGATTTGTGTTTCTTGAGTGAAACACTGTAATTTCTCATAGCTATTTCTCATAGCTGTTTCTCTGTGAATCTGAAGTTTGTTTTATGTATGCTGTTCCTTTCATGCATATTAATTGGGTTTTGTATTGACCTAAGGAATTCCTGGAGCTGATACTATTCTTGAAGACATTTTCTTATACCTATTTGGGATGATAAGCATGAGACTTATAGAGTAGTATTTATTTAAATTACAATACACTGGCACAGTTTCAAATTGCTCCATAGGCAAAAGGGCATCAGGGTAAGGTTTAGTGGTTAGGTTACCTCTTGAGCAGATGCTACTTAATAATTAATCCCATGATGCTGACTTGGGAAGTGAGGTATTACTTTAAAAAAGGAAGAAAAAACTTTTTCTTGATGCCAGTCACACTCTTCATCTCATGACTTCGGAATAGTTCTTCATTTGATTATCTTTATTTTTGCAGGACAAGAGCGAGAAATCATAGCAGATGATCTACCTCATCCATTCGGATTAACCCAGTACAGTGACTACATCTATTGGACAGACTGGAATCTTCACAGCATAGAAAGAGCAGACAAGACCAGTGGGAAGAACAGGACACTTATTCAGGGCCATTTGGATTTTGTGATGGATATATTGGTCTTCCATTCTTCACGTCAGGATGGCTTGAATGATTGTGTGCAAAATAATGGCCATTGTGGGCACTTGTGCCTTGCCATACCAAATGGATATAGGTGCGGCTGTGCTGCTCATTATACCTTGGATCCCAACAGCAGGAACTGTAGTTGTAAGCCTTTTTGTGTGCTACTATATTCTTCAGTGCTTGTGTTTGTGATCCCTTTCAGTTTAGAAAGGGAAGGGCTATCATGAGTCCATTTCAAAGGTTCTGGCTTTACAGGTGATCTTTAAATATGAGGACAGAGTATTGAGTTTTATATCCATTTTTGTGACGAGAATTGGGGCTGAAGATTTTTATTTCAAATCTTAGATATAATACTGCTGTCAAGTCTAGTCTTTCTTTTTTCACTAGAAGTCTTTCTAGGTGATTCAAATGTGTGATTGAAGCTTTTCCAGCCCTTACTTAAGTGTGTAGATGTGTGGATTTAGAAATTCTAAACAAAAAATGTCTTTTTCTCTGAAGTGTTTCATAAGGTCAGTAAAAATAACATCCAGTAAAACAGCCTCCTAAGTCGTCTGCACAATGTGCACATGCATTCGAAATTCATATAAGATTTTTTTCCAGCTGTGTGTGATGTTGTGACCCTGCCAGTTCACTGATTGTCAAATAAGAATTTAAGTTTCTAGTAAAAATAGCAGATGAATAGAAAATGGACTGTTGACTTGAAAAAAAAAAACACAAAACAAAAAGCTTCAGGCATCCTTGCATAGAAGCATATAAGGAAATTTTAACTGTAGGAACGGATGGAGTTATTAAAGGCAGGTCCTGCTTGACTAACTTGATCTCCTTCTATGACAAGCTTCTCTGACAAGATGACCTGCTAAGTGGATGAGGGAAAGGCTGTGGATATTGTCTACCCAGACTTTAGTAAAGCCTTTCACACCATCTCCCACAGCATTCTCTTGCAGAAATTGACTGCTGAGGGCTTTGATGGGCATACTCTTCTCTGGGTAAAAAACTGCCTGGATGGCTGGGCCCAAAGAGTGGTGGTGAATCGAGTTAAAATCCAGGTGGCAGCTGGTCACGAGTGGTGTTCCCCAGGGCTCAGTACTGGGGCCAGTTCAGTTTAATATCTTTATCAATGACCTGGACAAGGGGATTCAGTGCACTCTCAGTAACGTTGCAGGTGACACCAAGTTGGGTGGGAGTGTTTATTTTCTGGAGGGTATAAATGCTCTAATAGAGGGATCTGGAGAGGCTGGATCAATGGGCCAAGGCCAACTGTTTGAGGTTCAGCAAGGCCAAGTGCCGGGTCCCACACTTGGGTCAAACCATCCCATGTGATGCTACAGGGAAGAGTGGCTGGAGAGATGCCTGGCAGAAAAACACCTGGGGGTATTGGTTGACAGCCTGATGAATGTGAGCCAACAGTGTGCCCAAGAGCCAAGAAGGCCAAGAGCATCCTGACTTGTATCAGGAACAGTAGTGTGACCAGCAGGACTAGGGAAGTGAACAGGGAAGAGTGGCTGGAGAGATGCCTGGCAGAAAAACACCTGGGGGTATTGGTTGACAGCCTGATGAATGTGAGCCAACAGTGTGCCCAAGAGCCAAGAAGGCCAAGAGCATCCTGACTTGTATCAGGAACAGTAGTGTGACCAGCAGGACTAGGGAAGTGATTGTCCCCCAGTTCTTAGCACTGGTGAGGGCACACCTTGAATACTGTGTTCAGTTTTGGGCTCCTCACTACAAGAAAGACATTGAGGTGGTGGACCGTGTCCCAAGAAGAGCAACAAAGCTGTGTATTACTGCCAGTCACTGATGTAACTTAAATTCCACATGGGGGACATAGTTATTTTATAATATGAAAAGGAAATGCTTTCTGAGTGAGGGTGTGTACATTTACCTTCAGAAGTACACAAAGAAACTTTCTCAACTTAAAAACAAAAATCTCCAGTTATGAATTACCTTAGTTTTCATTGTCTCTATAATTGCCTCTCTGGGATTTTGTCCTAAATATTCTTTGTCTTCTGTGTGGGTGTATTTTTGACTGTGTGAGCTAAGTTTTCTTATGCATTGTGTTTTGGCTTGTTTCAGCCCCTGCCAGTTTCCTGTTATTTAGCCAGAAATCTGCAATCAGCCGGATGATACCAGATGATCAGCAAAGTCCAGATATCATACTGCCTGTGCATGGCCTAAGGAATGTCAAAGCTATTGATTATGATCCCTTAGATAAATTGATCTACTGGGTGGATGGACGACAGAATATTATAAAAAGAGCCAAAGATGATGGCACTCAGGCAAGTTTACGTGGTGTATGTAGTTGTGTGTCGGTCTTTCTGTGCTTTGCACTTTATGCTTGACTTTCCCCTTCCGACCCCTGCCCCAAGGATTCAGTGGTTTAAACTTTACACTTGCCAACACTTATTCATGTATATTCTATTTATATGTGAAAATTACAGAAGGCTTTTAGGATTGTGATTTTAATTTGTACATAAAGAAGTGTAATAGAATGTAGTACATCATACGTATCTGAAACTATAAGCCTTGAATTGCAATCTTTAGTTAAGGATGGGCACTGAAGTAAGCCAGACTCACTATTTATACTCCTGACAGATAAATTGTATTCTGAAATCAATACTGTGCATGCTAGTTGTCTGATAACGTTGTCATCGTCGTAAAGCTCTCTCAGAATGAAAACTCTCAGCCATCCAAGCTGTAGTTAAACCCTGAGTGAATGTAGAGTCAATTGCTGTGCCAGATAGGCATAGGCTTATCTGCATGTTTAAGTGCTTTCCTGAGTTGGGGACGTTATTCTTTTGCACTAGTTATTCAGACAACAGTGGAAAGAAGTGTACTGTTCTTCCAGGCAGCGATATGTGTTAACACAGCTTAACTCCTAGATCAAGGTAACAGATTCTTTACAAACTATGATTTGAATAAGAGTATAAAGCAAAATGGAGAATGGGCAAGTTATATTTTCCCAGTTTTTGGGCAGTCCTATCTAAACAATATGACACGATATTAATAGAAATGGACTAGTCTCTTCATGTGTCAGAGGGTTTATGGTTTCCTTTAAAGGGAGATGACAATTTTATTTTTTGGCCTTTTCTTTTAAGAGTGGGAGGAGGTATGTTGGGATAAGTAGCTAGCTGGGTTGTAGATGAATTTTGAAGAAGCTCTTGCTTTTGGGGATTCTAGTAGGTGCTAATTGTTGTAGTCTTGCTTCTCTTTGGTACTTGCTAGGTGCAAATTGCAATTAAGATTCATTTGCTCTGTGTTTTCCTCTACCTTGGTCACACAGCTTTGAAGATGCAGATCCCCTGCAAATTTTGACTTTCCAATTTTCACTAACTCTTTTTACTTAATTTTGTTAAATCGTGCTGTTTGCAGATGGTGCATATGAATTTCATACCTGGGTAATGTTACCTTTGATTTCAGGAAAATAGTGATTTATTTTTATATCTAGGCACACTGTCAAGAAAAAAAACAGGGGTAAAGCTTTATATAAAAAGAAAAAAGCCTGTGTATCATTCATTATGCAGAACTTGGAAGCTTAAAAATGAAATTTTGAAAATATAACTTTCACAAGTAATGCTGTGTTGGGTAATTTATTTGACTTAAGCTAAGCACAGAATGGTGTTTTCAGCTTTCTTGAGCCACATGAACTTTTTCTGGTACCGTTTTTGCGTTTGGATTGGGAGTGCTGCATTAGGACACTTAAGGAAGCCACTGCTTTCCCCTCAGAATTACCATGTCACCAGAAGCATGTCACTTTTGAAGGCTACTTTGATGCTCAGGGTCCTGCCAGCAGTACTATCACAGTGGCACTGAGATTGGCTGTATGCTAGTGGAGCCTATGGAACATTAAACAAACAACAGAAAGATTATTTTCCTTTAGGGTTTTTTTTTATATGCTCTGGTGCTCTTCACAGAAATAAAGTATTGAAGTCTGTATTAGTATTCAACTTAGAGTTAAAAAGTGTAGTAAATAATACATGAGTTAGATAGGGAGGGGTTGAGGGTAATGATTCCAGGAACTTGGCAATAATGTCAAGTTTTGTAAGTTCCACCATAAAGACATGAGGGGGAAAGCAAGGTAATGTTGTTGGTATAGGTGTGAAGCAGAGCTGTAGCTGTTTGACGTATAAGCAAACAGAACCAAGTTTCAATAAAAAATTTTAGTTTTTAAGAGAAGTCAGGACTTAAAGAAAATCAGTATCTACTACACTACAAATAATAAAGTAAGGGGACTGGCAAGAGAGAGATTTGTTCAGCTGACAGTGAACATATTTGTTCAGTATAAAAGTGCAGGTCTGGCCAGCAGGCTGCCTTGTTTCTTGCATTGTTTCATTCAAGATTGTTCCATGCATAAACTTTCACTGTAGTTTTCTTCCATCTCACTAGTTAATTCTATTCATAGGAGGCCCCACACCTGCTTTCTTGAGAGTTTTGCATAATCTTATGAATTTTGTCCACGTGTTTTTCTCTGATCCAGTTTGATTCCAATCTTTTTTTTGTTAAGCTTTATTGCTTTTCTTGTATTTGTTGTTTCCCTGTGGGTGGTTTTAGGTGTTTCTGGACCGTCAGGTAGGTCTTTTTCAATCAATAATAAGAATAATTACTGTAATTTGTTCCCCTTATGATTTCTTGCAGCCTTTCACTGTCATGAGTACTCCAAACCAAAGCCAGAACCCAGAGAAGCAGCCACATGACCTCAGCATCGATATATACAGCCATACCTTGTACTGGACCTGCGAGGCTACAAATTCCATTAATGTCCACAGGCTGAATGGCGAGTCAATCGGGATGGTGCTGCGAGGGGATCACGACAGACCCAGAGCCATTGTAGTGAACGCAGAGCGAGGGTGAGATCACTCTCTGTACCTTGTACAGAGCACTCTTGGGATGTATGTCAGCTGTGTGTGTGAATCTTGTGTTTTTTAAAAAGGAGAATTTTTGCATGTGTAATTGTTCAGGGTGTAGGTGACTGCTGGTCCAATTCTGGCTTTTAAAGGTATCCAGCTTTCTCTTCCTGTTCTCTCCTTCGCTGCCTCCTCTAGTGTGCCGACTCAGATGTTCGCGCAGCCATGTGGTTGGTTATAGTGAGGAACTAACCCAGGTGGGGAAGGCAAAGCAGAACCACCTTACCCTTTTTGCTGCATGAGTGCACAGCCCCACCACTTAATAGGAAAAACAGGAGAGTTTACACTGTGCTCATATCAGCTGGGAATCTGGCTCATTAATGTTTGGTCTTCATAAAACATGTTTCCAGGAAAAAAAAGGGATCTCTCACATGACACAACTATTCCTGCTAATGTATTAGTATAAAGTTAAACATGCAAACAAACCCCTTATGTTCTGTACATTTTAAAGTAAGTTCTGTCTTGATGTGTATCTCAAAACTTCTGAAATTAATTAAAACTGGTAGCATGCACTAGTGTGATTTCCCACAGGAAGAAAATACGTTGTTTTGCTGCAAAACAGTTTTGGTTATATTCAACAGACCCCATCTCCACTTCATGTGGTTAGGAGCTTCGTTCTTAGAGGTCAAAGATGTCCTTAACTGTTCTTTTTAATGTTAAATTCCTAAATCCCAATTTACTACTAAATGGCTTACCATGTGCCTGACAGATGTTGAATGACAGTATTTAGTAAATGTGGATACAATACTACCCAGAGACTCTATCTGGAGCATTTATAAGATTGATGTTTTATACAATAGTCAGTGTACTCTGTGCAGTTCAAAAGCTGGTGTGGGAAGAGGGGGATTAGAGGAAAGACTCTAATCTTATTCGGACTAAGTCACTTGGACATAGTTTGTATTTATAAAAGCTTATCTGCTTTCTCCATTAAAATGGGAGTTTGGTTTTGTTGATCTCTAAAACTCTCAAATTTTCTAGTCAGGTTTTCAAATTATTTAAAGATAAATCTCTTTTTAAATTAAAGGGGGAAAAGATGGAGGATAGACTGTGCTGAACACTGACTACTGGGGAGAGCTGAATGAGTGATCTGTGTACTGAACTTCTTCTGCCTTAATTCCAAAAATCCTTCCCTCCTCCGAAAAGCCTCTGCCTTGGCTACACATTCTGACTGCTGCCTCTCTTCCTTGTGCCATCACTAAAGGCTATGCAGCAATGTAGCCAGCTGTATTAAGGAGTTCACCCATGTTATCTTCTACTGAAAAAATGGTGGATTTTTCCCTGAGGGGGTTCTCAATTCATTCTCTGGGTGCACAAGCCCTTTTTCACTATGCAGGGGGAGGGCAGAGACTGCTGCTGCTTGCAACTGAACTGGCTTAGGCAGGTGTAAAGAATTCATGGACCTTAGACATCAGGAACATGCCATCCTCAGTTGTTCTTCCTTCTGTGATCTTTGCTCCTCTCAAGTTTGGTAGGAACTTCCACTTGCTGAGAAGAAAGGCAACTCAGAAGGAGAGGAGGTGACGGTTAATGTTTTTTGTCAGAAAGAGGTTATGGGCTTTGAATGACAGATGGGGACAGCTTTACCCAAGGACAGTTGCAGAAAGTCTGCTAGTCTCTTATAACCCCCACCTCCACTGCAGGTACAGTGCCTCCAGTGCAGCAGTGCTGCGTGCTGAGGCATTTTATGGCCTGGTGTATTAAGGAAGAATGCTAGTAATTTCAGGCTGTCTCAATGTACCAGTTAGCAAATGTTTGGGGTTCTGCAGCTGTCAGATCTGGATCTTTGCAGCTGGGAGCAACAGTCACTGCAGTCATCCCTGTGTAAACCATTCCCACTTACAGTGTAGAACCTGTGTGCCATGGTGAGTTGCCTCCCTTCTGAAGCTCTCAGTTAAGCTGCTGGTGTCTTTGTTCCCAGGTACATGTACTTCACCAACATGCAAGAGAGAGCTCCCAAGATTGAGCGTGCAGCCCTTGATGGCACAGAGAGAGAAGTGCTTTTTACAACGGGGTTGATCCGACCAGTAGCACTGGTGATTGACAACAAACTTGGAAAGCTTTTCTGGGTGGATGCAGATCTGAAGCGCATTGAAAGCTGTGACTTGTCAGGTATGTGGTATGCAGTTAAAAATTTGGAGCGGAGTGTGTGTATGTATAGGGCATCGTTCCCTCTTTGATGCTGACCCCAGTAATTTCTATCCCCAGTGTTGCCAGTTCTGTGTAGGCAGTCACAGATAACAGTTCCTGGTGGGCTCCTGTCTTTGATGTGATTGGAATAAACATGTCTGTAATGATTGCCATTCTCCAAGAGAGCTGTTTGACTTTTTATATGTTCTGAAAGCAACTCTTGCAAGGTCAGATTTAAATAGGTGTTGCCAGTTATGGAACCCTTAAATCACCTCCCCTGTGCCCTCTCTTTTTACTTACGGTTTGCAAAGTTTGCATAACTCTTCAATTTTTCTTTCTCTGGAGTTTATAGCTTAGTATATCAAGGTGGCTTGAAAAACAAACAGAAGGAAGGGGAAATGGCTTTCTTCCATGATGGATGATAAGGCAGCTCATCTGGAATACCAGTGTTGCAAAACAGTGCTGAGATGTCAACTCATTGCACTTTTCACATATTAGTAAAATAAAGCATTACTCAATGTTCTTAGCTATAGATCTTAGAGAGCACCGTTCATCACTGACTTTTAAAAGCACTTGATAGTGCTGAAAAAGTGGAAAAATGGGTTCGCTCCTCTGCTGAGGAGTATAGCACAGAGGATCCATTGGCCCTACTTTCTCACTAGTGATTTTTTCTCTCATCATCATCTGTTTATCAAGAAGTGAAGCTCTTAAAGGAGGAGCAGGGGGAAGTGAACTAGTATGGGGGAGTAGAAGCTGGGCTGTTTTAGTGATTGGCATCTGCCATAAAAATGCTGATTCTCCAATTTTTTGTGGCTCTTCTTGCCACCTAGTCACATCCTTCCCTTGTATTGTAGTGAGGCAATGAACTAAAGTGGGAGAAAATTGTTGACTTTTTTCAAGGACAGTTCACTTCTGAGCACCTAAAACTGACTCAAGGTCTCTTTGGGGTCTCTTCTACCAGACAGGGGATAAAAACATGAAACTGGAGCTGGGAAGGTAAAGCAGCCCATATCTTTCATCAGTTATCAAGCTGTATAGGGGGGTATTCTCAAACTGCCTGTGGAGCCACAAAATGTCCAGTCCAGGATAAGCATTGGAGAACCTACAAAAATTTGTAGGAGAAAAGACAGGAAGGAGACAAGACTCGACCTATGAAACAACCCATGTTTGAGAAGAGATTTACAGAGTGGGACACACAACACAAAATGCATCAGATACTGAGAGGGTTTTGTCTAGTGATAAAAGGAGAAGTGCTGTAGGAGGATATCCAAAAGTAAAAGGACAAGACAGAAAAGCAGCACATCATGCAGCTAGTGTGGCTGAAGTGGTATTCACAAATGCAAGAGAGAGAGAGAGGAGGCACTAAAGAAGATTATAGAGAAATCATACAGTCTGGGAGAGCAGGAATGTACCATGGAGAATTTAATGAATTGAGAATGGAGGACTGGATCAATAACTGGGGCTGCTACTGATAAAAACGGTGACCCCCGTGTAATAGGAAGCCATATTACTTAACGAAGCTGTAGCATACAGTGGACCTAGCTATGCATGCATCTTCTACTTGTATGTACATAAGCATCCTTTTCTCCCTTTTGGTTTAGCACACATGGAAGGTTGAGTCACAGCTAGCAGATGGAGGTGGGCAGGGGGCAAGAGCTTCTTGCTAGTCACATTACAGGTTGGAAGATGGACTGTGTCCTTGCATAGTACAGCATAAAATGCAGAGGAGTCTGTTTAATAGTGCTTTAGGTCTAAGACTTGAATGATTAAGACCTGACAATAGGACTTAAGTAAACTGATATATGAACAAATCAGCAGCTAGGCCATCACATGCTGGCAGTTGTATCCTGTGATTGCAGTTTCCTTTGTACGCATTCTTCTTTTTTGTGACATTAAAACTCCATGTAAGACTATGTTTGCATACTGGATATATGTTTTAATCCAATTCTCTGGATCTTTTTACAGGAAAAACTGATCTTTCTCTGGTTAATATTGAGCCAAAGCTTTTAGTGCACGTTTATATGATTCACAGCCAAAGAATCAAACCCTATAGCTAAGATAAAAGCAGAGGAAGGATACAGGATTGAAAGAAAGCTATGTTAGCTACAAGATATGTATCATGTACCCATAAAATTATGATTGTATTTGATCTAGCTGAGCTCACTGTAATTTGTTTCACTGAACTGTTGATTTTTCAAATGAGTCAACTACATTTATGTTCAAACATTTTGCAGTCTTGCCTCACAACTTCAGAAAAAAAATGACAGCCAAGGTTACATTCCTTGAATTATTTCCTCTAAAAAGTATTTTCTGAGCAAAACACTTTAAAATGGGTACATATTAGCAAAAGGATTTTAGCATAAACTGATGCTGCTGAATAAATTGGGCCAAAATTGTGTAGAGCATCCTTCATGGCAATTAAACTAGTCTAGACAACCTTATTCCCTTGTAGGCCTGGAGAGATGACATGGTTATGGAGATTTCTGAAGCTTGCACTACGCCCCAATTACAACATCCTGCTAAATCATGGAATAACCTCAGATGGCCAGTGCTTAACTTTCAGAGAGGGGTGAAAGAGCTATAAACCTGTCTAATGGTTTTCTTTATGAGATTCTTGAATTTTTCAGTTGGAATTGTTGATGTTTTTTAGACATTCGTAAACTACTTGCAAATAACTGGTCTGCCACACCAGTCAACTGAAAAATAGTGTTGTATAGTATTGTTGAAGTGACTGGAAAAGCTATAAAACTGCTGCAGTGAAAACGTGCTTTGTTTTCAATTAGACTTTAAATAGAGGAATTGTGTTCTTCCAGCTTAATGTTCTTTACATTTAACTATTGGTTTCCTTCTTGGAAAGACTACATATCTGTTTCATGCTGGGAATCAACGTATTTAACTACTATGGAAATTCAACACTTCTTTATTTGTAATAAGTTTTCTCTTCTTTTTTTCTAACAGTATCTGTTGAAAGTATCCTTTTATTTATTCAGATAGTTTTTATTTTGATCATTCTTCTAAACAACAATTTAATGACATCATCCAGTGTTATAGGTGCCCATTTTTTGTCTCTCCTTTTAAAATTATTCATTAATAATTTACTTAAGATCAAATCCAACGTAATTATAGTATAGATTAATCACCTTATGAAGTGCTATCCCCAGCAGCTTCCCAAATCACCAATGTTCAGTTTTTTGCAGATGAGGGAGAAAAAAGATGATGCTTGATGTACATCCCCAAAAACTGTATCATGTTTTAGGCCTGGATTTGGAAGGCTGTTTAAACAGTCTGAGATTCTAGTGGGACTGCAAGCTTGCAAGTGTCAGCTGACACCTCCTGTATTTATGATTTCAGGATGCCTTCAGGATATCCTTCAGGAAATCAGATTGCCTTTTATTTCCAAATGGATGAGCAATTTAGCACTTAAAAAATCAAGAAGGCAGAAGGAGTTTTCTTTATATCAAATTGAAAAGAGGCTTTCCTATTGTTGCAGTATCTCGAATGCAGCTGAAAATTGTGCTTTTGGGTCAAAATGTGAGGCTTAGTCTGGCAAAAGGACAGTCGTCTTTGAAAATCCAGTGACACTGAAGTTCATAGGAGCTAAGGGTGCTCAGCAGATTGGAGGGCAAGTGAACAAAGTGCCCTGTGCTTTGTTTTAAGGCCTGTTTAGGAGAAGACAAGGAACATCTCGGAAACTGCACTGCTAGAGAGTAGTACCAAGGGTCTGGTCTAGTGAAATTAGTGCAGGTGCATCTGTTCTGTTCTGCTACTCTTTACAAAATCCGGTGGTATGGTGGAGGTGTGTACAATAATAGACACATCAGCTTGCAGCCAGGACTGTACTGTCACATACACTTCATGCATGTTTCTTCTGAAAATGGAATGAAACAAAAATATCTTCCTCATGGGTTTGAAAACAGAAGAAATTCAGAGCTAAAGAACTAAAACCACAGTTGCAAGTCCAAGAATTTCTTATCATTCTACAACTAAATTTGATTTGACTGCATGCTGTTTGTCAGTCAAGTAAGAGTCACTGCAGGTGATAATTTTATACGCAAAACTAATAGAAACTGTAATTGAAATAAATGTTACATTCTTATGCTTGGCTGAGCTCTACATAATTTATGCAGTAAATTAGTTGCATCCAGTGATCATAGCATTTTTACTATTATCCTGATTCTCTAATCTCATTTTGTGTAGATACAAAAAATGTCTATTTTTCACATGCAAGCAGACATAAGGTCTTTATTCCAAAATGAAATGCAAGAGCAGAAGTTACGCTCTTAACCAAAACCGTAACCAAGTTACGATCTTGCTTTGATTCCTCATTTTAAAAATCAAATATATCCAGTATACTTAGGCATACACAGCCTCAAAATGGTTTCTGTGAATTAATAGAATAATTTGGAATCTCTTGTTCATCCTAGACAAGCATAACAAAAGCAACAATTAAATGCCACTACGCGTAGGGCAGCACACAGTAGAAGACTGCAATCAATTAAAGTTAAAAGCAGTCATAAATGCATTTTTACTCACACTGATTTTTGCACATTGACTGAGAGCAGATTTTTACACATTTCTGGAGAGTAGAAAACCTGTGCATTTGATAGTGTTCCTGTTTAAGAGCATATTGAGTTGCCCAATATTGGGCAAACTTGGAGTTTGAGTTTTCTGGTTGGTTACTGAACTAAAAAGCTAACATGAAGGAAGGAGTGTGGCTGTTAGAATATGAACTGCTCTTTTGTGGCCATATCTCTCATGTCATACAGCATATGACAGGGTTTGTGTACTTGCTTCTTGCTTTGCATGATGAATGTGTTTTATTTGAGTAACAGCAGTGAAGCTAATTGGTTGTATTTCACTCTTGCTTGTAGATTCCAACAAAGTGTACTTCTTGGTGTGTGAATGTATTGTAAAAAATTTGGCCCAAGAGCTGAGTCTGTATTGGTGACACAGGCTTTTAGGGACTGTACACGTATAACAAAATATGTCAACATGAGGCTGATCATGACTGGCTGACCAGCCAGTGTATGAAAGAATCAGCAGTGTTCCATATTGCATCCATTTGCCCTCATGATATGAAAGCTGGTTGCATTTATCTGAGATGAAGCTGAACAAGCAGAGCCTTGGTCTGCATAGACAGATGAAGCCAAGGACCATTTAGATAACTATTTTCAGGGTTTGGTTTGCTTTGGTTTGGTTTTAGTTGGATGTTTTTAAAAAATTGCTTAAAAAGTCAACTGGTGTAAAACTAGTCTTTGTTGCTCTCAGGTGCTAACCGTGTGACCCTGGAGGACTCCAACATCCTTCAGCCAATGGGACTCACTGTGCTGGGGAATCACTTGTATTGGATTGATCGTCAGCAGCAGATGATTGAGAGAGTGGAGAAAGTGAACGGGTACAAAAGGACTAGAATTCAAGGCCGAATTGCTCACCTGACAGGCATTCATGCTGTGGAAGAGCTTGATATGGAGGAATTCTGTGAGTTTATTTCAGTATCTGGTTTCTGTCACTCTCAGTCACTGTCTCTCAAAGTCCTCATCCAGCTGAATATTGTAATAACGTTGCCCAGTGCTCTTCAGGAAGCCACGGGGAGCTTTCACGTGGCCAGTCAGGATCCTAGAAGAGGAGAAGAAACAAATTCTCATATAAGAGAGAGAACTCCTCAGCAAACTTTCTAATTTATATTGAATGTGACGTTCATGGCATGAAATAATCCTGTTGGCCACCCTGGGTCAAGTGCCCAGGTCTCACTTCTCATCCCTGCACCTGGCAAGGCTCAAAAACACTGAGACCTTGAATCCCCTATACCATAGCTGGCTATCAAGTAAATATTTTCATGAATTCAGACTCTGGAGTCTTCTAAAAGTGCAGTTTTCCCAAGTATTAGAAGAGAAATTAGTCCTGTGTCACTCACACCACAACACTTGCCCATGTGGGTAAGCTGTTACAAATAAGGTAGTGTAAATATTTAAACTACAGTTGATTCTATGTGCTAATCCTTATCCAGATATTCTTTTTCCTTATACTCAGTTTTTCTTCTTTGCCATTTCTCACATTCTTGGTGTATATCAAAGGTAATAATGATGCAAAAAGAATTTTTTCCTTAATTCTCAACACTGTTAAAAGATTACTTTATATCCCATGTGTTTTTTGAAAATGTTTGGGTTTTATGGCAAGAGTACTGTTTCTTCTAAGTCACACTGAAAGGAATCACCTTTTGCAGCTGGAAGCTGTCCTACATAGATTACTTCTGTTACAACAGGGGAGTAAAAATACATATGTACATGTGTGCGTGCCCACACAAGCATATATGTGCACACTTTTTTTGCTAGCAAGCCATGCCTCAAACAGTAACATTGCTAACACTGCATTAAATAATGAATTTGTTAAAGGTGTAAGCAGGTTGCTAAGAAGCCTGAACAGATGGAAAACAACTTTGGCACAGAAATTGTGGTATCTATACTGTTTCTTCCCTGTGGAAATTCTTGGTCCTTACTGGTAGTAGAGAATGCATTGTTCAGCAGCTTGACAAAGAACACAGGCTGTAGCCCCACAGATCGCTCCAGCAGATGCTCAGCTCTCAGCTCAAATAAGCAGGCACGAGTCTGGGTCTCACTCTGTTGGGCTGGGGTCCTCAGACAGTGACATCACTTCTCTACGCCTGTTTCTTATCCACCTAACTAATGTTCAATTAGCGTGATTCTATTAGGAGCTCTCAGGTACTCAGTGCTTCTGGGTAACTGGTTTGGGAACACAACCATGTAGCTTCCTGTCTTAAAAAAAAAAAAAAAATCAACTATGTGTGCTCATATTGCAGTTTTGTGAGTAACAGGGAACTGGGGGGGCTAGATATTAAGAGCTCTTTAAGATTAAAGGAGAATTCCTGAGGTTTGGAAGTTGTCATTCTACAGAGTCTGACTACCCTAGAAATGCAGGTGGGATGTCTAAGTATGCTGTAAATGCAACCTTCTCAAATCTGCTTTCTCGTTCCCCTTCACCTGAGCTCTCAAATTCTTTTCAGAAGTCCTTTAAAGGTCTCCATATCACTGTGACTGTGAGAAATGTAGTCCTTGTGAAGTAGTAAATCAGCTTTTGAGCACTGAACTGAAAAATCCTGCATCTTCCTATTAATTTGTAGTGAAATCTTGATTACTCAAACAGAAGTGCTTTGCGAGTGGTTTTGTGAGTTTGCCCTAGCTAGCAGTAGTTACAATTTCTTTTATGCTATCTAATACTCTTTTCTGTGTGTTTCTCCAGCTGCGCATCCGTGTTCCCGTGACAATGGTGGGTGTTCACACATCTGCATCGCCAAAGGGGATGGGACTCCAAGATGTTCGTGCCCCGAGCACCTTGTGCTTCTACAGAATCTCTTAACATGTGGAGGTGACTTACGTTTAACAGTACTGCTAAGCGTTCTATATCAAAAAAGATAGGGGTTGAGGTTGCATTCCAATCCAAAATATGGATTTACACACAGTGTTTTCCTACACATGGTGCACCACAATGTATTAAATTGACCTTTGATTCTCCTACCAACTGTTTTCTGCTTCAGTTTTTCTACATGACTTTTCATTGTGAGCAGAATATTCTTGTTTGACCTTAAAATACTTGCATCTTCTACTGAGATTTTTATAATTATATGATGTGTTAGGTTTATGCTTTAAACAAATGCTTGTAAGATGATGTTGCATCAACCAGTGATGACCTAGCAGCAGAAACTGTGCATGTGATTCCCACAGTGCAATACTCCAGTCTTTCAAATTAATTTGGCCTCATAACATGAAACACTGTGCTGTCTAGTTACGAAATGTAGGCCAAAAGCTCTGTTCCAATACTTTTTAATTAAGGTTGCTCTCCTCTTTCCACATGGCTGACTTTTCCTTCAGACTTCCCTTTCACAACCCTAGGATTTTTGAAAATTGTAATGTTACACTTGCAGAGGGGATTAAAACCAAACCAAAACAAAAGTATTGTTTCTTTTGGGGAGTCATCATATCTTAGATCCTTTGGCTCTGTTGGTCCTTGTGACTTCTTTTTATGTATTCATTTTGCTGTGGATTTCATTTTCTAGCTGAACTCTGACCTCCCATGGGAGAGTCATTTCCATTATAAACGGTTTTCTTCTCCATGACCACAACACGCTATGTGGTTTTAGAGTAGTGGCGATTACATCTTGGGTGGGGGGGAGGTGGAATCAATCTACTTATATTTCTTGCTGTACTGTTGTTGCACAACATGGCCAATGAGAGATTCTTACATCCCACTTCTTTGTTATCTTCAGCTATAAATCTAAAAAATTAAGGGGCCTCCATTTCAGTGTCTTGATTTTTTATTCTAATCCTTCACTAAGCCAGCAACAACTTTTAACCCATCTTGTCTGCTGTAGTAGCAGCCAATAGCCAGTATTTCAAAATAGATTAATAGCTATTTTGGCTGGAGAACATTTGTCCATGTACCCTTACGAATGCTCTTGACAAGTTTTTAAATGCGAGCTTGTGCCTGCCAAGTGCAACATGATGCAACATTAAATGTGGCTCTAAATGCAGAAGTAGTAATCTGTCTGTCTTGCTCTAAGTAATCTGTCTGTTGAATTATCTAAACAGCACACTCATATCAAAATTTAATTCAAAAATTATCTTAATGTGTGTATCTGGCATCTTTATCTTACCTACAGCTGTCAGGTCACTAGCTACATTTGTAATTCTCATATTTCTACATCAAATAATCCTAAATCTGAAACTTGCAATGCCATAAAATTTTCAAAAATCAAATGCATTTGGATTTTTATTTGCATTTTGTTTACCAAGCTCTTGACTATACTTGAGTCTTGTTCTTGAACATTTCTCCCTAATGATAGAAGGATAGCAGCCCATTAAAAATTATTTGCATGTAATTGCATAGATCTGGGGTCCGTAACCTCACTTTCAAGAGAAAAATACTCATACAAAATCTTGTTATTGGTTACAACTGAGAAGCTTTCCTTATGTTGGGTTCTTTGTGAAGTCCATTCCTGAGCCTGAATGTTAATAAAAGCTCATTTAGGATTTCCAGAGGAACATTACCACCCAGTGTCAGAGCAGCCCTCCAGCTTGTTCAATATTGTTCAGAGACAGGGTATGATGTGGTACTCTGATAATCCATGCGGCAAAACATCTACTTAGAGCACTAGCTGGCAACAGCAGCTGTGGGGACTAGTAACTGCCTCTGTTAACTGATTTACCTACCTCACAGGGATTTGACCCAGCATCTTTTGAAATCCATAGCAATGTATGTTTGCTGCAGCGATGTTTTGGGATGGGCCCCTCATTTTGAACATAACTGCTACTGATAACAACTGAAGGGACTTACACATCGACTGTTCCTTTCATTGATACTAATGGTGAAAAAGTGTGTGCTAGTAGGCTGTATGTAAGAATTAGAAGCATTTCTTGCAATAGATACTTTATCTGGTTCGTCTTCATCTTTGCTTTTTGAAATTCTGAAGAAAGCAACTATGAATGCCTTATATCAGCATAATTGTTGCATCTCAACATGAGGTTGTAGCTGCTGCTTAACGCTATCAATGTGTGATTGCAACTTGAACAACAGTATGGATGGGGAATGGATTGATGCCAGGATCTTGGGGTCCATGAAAAGTCAAATTTGAAGGAAATCCTAGCTTTCTTAGGTCCAGCAAACAAAAATGGCTGTGCATAAGGTCCAGGGTTCTGCCTCTGACCATAGTGAAAAATATAATATCAGGGCAGGCCTACAGTACTCCTCAGACTACTCTCTGAACCTCCACTGACCTGCAGCCCAGAGACTTTCCAGCAAGAGGACTTAGCTTAATGCTTAACAGGCCTTTACAGATATTTTTTCCCCATTCATATTTTTCAATTCATATTTGACTGGGAAATTTATTTGTGGAGAAACCACAGGAAAAATAGAGAAACAGACATTGTAAAAGCAGATGTTATATGTTTTAGGTGTATTCATTGCCAATTAACCCGATGTGCCAGGTTTTTTTTGTGAAGAATTCTTCCAGGCTGATACAATTGCAGGGATTAGAATTGTGTAGAATGTGGTTTGCAATCAGAAATTGAGTAATCATTTGAATTTATGTGTATGACAGTGTCCAAAAGGTGGCTGTTAGAGCCAAACTAAGTATTTGTATTTCCTGTCTTTAGTTCAGTGCTCACCTGCTAGAGCAAGTTTCTTCAATCAGGATGCATCCAGTTTTTGTTTTAAAGTTGGCATAATTTCATTCCCTATGCAAAATCATGTTTTCCTCTTTGCTAGAATGTTAATATTGTCACAGAAGAACTTCAGTCCAGGCATAAGTGTGTTTTTCTTGAAATAGTCTGTCACATTTTTACCCTGTTGTAAGGACTAAAATTGAGTATACAAACGGTATTTGTTTTCTATTTCTCCAGAACCTCCAACTTGTTCCCCAGACCAGTTTACCTGTGCAACTGGAGAGATCGACTGTATCCCAATGGCATGGCGGTGTGATGGGTTTCCAGAGTGCGATGACCAGAGCGATGAAGACAGTTGCCCCATATGCTCTGCATCCCAGTTCCAGTGTGAGAAAGGACAGTGTATCGATGCACACTTGCGGTGTAATGGAGAAATCGACTGCCAAGATAAATCTGATGAAGCAGATTGCGATAGTAAGATTGATTTGCCTGAACTCATGGTTCTAACATAAGCATCCATTTGGGATTCTAACTGTTCTTCATATATACGCATGAATCTTAGTTTCAAATGGGAAAAAACAACCCTAACCATAAGCCTAACTAAGCTGTGCACTGATTCTGTCTTTCTTTCCTTCTTTCTTATTCTGTTGCTCAAATTAAATTTCTCTGTAGCTACATAAATTGTTGATCATGTAACTGTAGATATGGGGGAGCTTGGGGAGAGTATCTTTAAACCATGTTCAGAATGTAAACAAGAAAGAAACTGGCAGAACGTACTTTTTTCCTGCCTAATTACCATTTTGAGTTGCACTGTTTCCACAGTGTCCACTTCACCTTCAGACAGTGGTCACTGCAAGGTGCCACAGGGAGGAAGAGATGGACTTAATCCTGTGGCTGACTAGGCTGTTTTGAGAGTTCAGTCTTAGCAAGCTGATGCTTATAGTCCTAGATGTACCTTTTTATGAGAAATCTGGGGAATAACATCCAAGGAGCTCTTGCTGCTAGAGCTGCTTTGTACGCAGTCAGCTGAAGAGTCTGGGTCCAAGAGAGAAACATGGATGGGTGCATTTGCATCATCCCTTGGTTAATGGGAAAACTTCCATATTCTGGAAGTTAGTATCAAGGCATAGCTGAAACAGACACTTGACTGTGAGCTGGCACCATGGCTTCTTATTACTGTAAAAAATTTCAGGAGCCTATTCAGTAGTGTAGCTCTTGCTCTAAGAAGCCTCAGGACCCTTGGCTCTGCCCACTCAGTGGCTAACTATTTCCATTGGCCAGCAGGGTAGATTTTTGTGCACATTTCAAGTCTCAGGTTTTTTTGGATTTGCAATCACGGAATCACAGAATTGTCAGAGTTGGAAGGGACCTCTAGAGATCATCTGTTCCAGCTCCCCTGCTAAAGCAGGATTGCCTGGAGCACATTACTCAGGACTGCATCCAGGCGGAGTTTTAAGATCTCCAGAGCAGCAGAGAAAGGGACTCCACGACCTCCCTGGGCAGCCTGTTCCAGGTCTCTGTCCGGCTCCAACATCCTTCAACTCACCCTTTAGATACTTATAAACATAAATAAGGTCTCCCCTCAGTCTTCGCTTGTCCAGGCTAAAGAGTCCCAGCTCCTTGAGCCTTTCCTCGTAAGGGAGGGGCTCCAATCCCTTAATCATCTTAGTTGCCCGATGCTGGACTTTCTCCAGTAGTTCCCTGTCCCTCTTGAACTGGGGGGCCCAGAACTGGATGCAGTATTCCAGTTGTGGCCTCACCAGTGCAGAGTAGAGGGGGAGAATGACTCCCTCAACCTACTGGCCACACTCGTTCCTATGCAGCCCAGGATTCCATTGGCCCTCTTGACAACAAGTTAGAGCCTACTATAAACATGTGTGTGTTTTGTATGCACTGTAGGACCTTGTGGAGCTGCATCCAGCTTACTGGGGCCATAACAATCCAAATCAGGAGCTGATGTATTTGGAGCTCCTAGCTAAGTTTTTTTCTCCATAAATAATTTAGTTCTCTTACATGAGAACTGCTGTGCAAAGTATGTATGGCTGTTCAGGAGGTCCACTTCACAACACCACCAGTGCTGTGATCCAAAACATTAATGTGGATCCTGTCCTCCAAAAAGAAAAAAAATCTTTCTTCTTTTTATGTTGAATAACCTATACTGTGAAACTCCCAGGATTGCTGGTTACTAGCCTTTGTAAGACTGTCTCTTTACTGATCATTTAATGAGCTTTGACTTGACAGAGATTCCAAAGATAATTAACGAGTCCATTTTGCTGAAAAAATATTCAGGCTTCTGAATATAGATAAGAAATTTAGTAGTTACTTAGCAAGGTTATATTGTACAGGCCTACATAAGATAGCGTAGACTATGTAAGGTTTTATAATAAGCCGAGTTACTACATTTTTGTTAACATGTCAAATGATCAGCTACACTTTGATAGATATTGTAGGAGATTCGTGCTGATTTGATTCCAGTTTTGCCCCAGCAGGACTGATTTGACAAAAGATGGGGAGTTAATGGGATCAGAATTTTATTTTAGCCTGGGCAGGATGTGTAACAAGAAGAAGGAAGAATCAGAGAAGTGCAGACTTGCATTTTACCCACAGCAGCAAAGCAGGTGTTCTGGTGCCTACCTGGTCATAATATAAAATGCATTGCAGCTTCATGTCTCACTTCTTCTGGTTTTCTTAAGATGCTCAAATGCTCCCATTAAGTAACACTTAATCTTTTCTTTCTTTCTGTGCAGCAATTTGTCTACCCAATCAGTTCCGATGTGCAAGCGGCCAGTGCATCCTCCTGAAGCAACAGTGTGACTCCTTTCCGGATTGCATGGACGGTTCTGACGAGCTTATATGTGGTGAGATGTCTTTCCTTAAGACTCAAGCACTGTACTCGGGCTTAACGTCCTACATCCCTATGCAGAGCCCCAGTTTTTGCATAGTAATATTATTTCAGGGAAGCCCAGTGAATCTTGGCCAAATACTCTCACACTTGTATTTGGCTGCTAAATGTAGCCATTCTCTTCCGTTGGTCTGTGCAGCAAGAGTGTGAGCCTAAGTCTGTAATGCTATTATTCTAGGTAATGCAGGAACAGCAGTAGTGAAGAAGAACTGAAGACCCAGTGTTACTTCAAGCTAGTTCTGAAATGTTGTATGGGACACAACGCTGCCTTGTTCAGATGGGCCTTCAGATCTATACCCAGGGGGACCTGATTCTACTATCCTCAGAACTTGCGGAGCTGCTGCTGACCTTTGGGTGGCTTTTAAAAATGCACAGCCCTATCCACTGCATTTACAGGGTCAAGCTGAAGGCTAATTATGTGGAGGAACTAGCGTGCAATGAACAAGTGTCTACAAGAGACCACAAGCTGGTCACTTACAGTGCAAGTAGGAAAAGAATATAAGGAGACTCCTTAATTTTTCTGGGGAAAATGTTACTTTGAATTGTCGTGGCAAGTTACAGACATGCTGATGGCAGTTGCTGTATTGCTCCTAGCGGAGTCTGTTATTCTGCAGTCTGAAGTGAACAGTAAAATTTATTTACTTATGCTTTTCTTGCAGCTTCTCTCTTTTTGCACCATCAGGGTGACTAGTGCATGAAGTTTTCAGGGAATGGGGCAGCTCCACTATCATGAGGCCCCACCTGGAGTGTACTGCATCCAGCTCTGGGGCCTCCAACATAAGAAGGACGTGGACCTGTTGGAATGGGTCCAGAGGAGGGCCATTGGAGCACCTACGCTATAAAGACAAGCTGAGAGAGTTGGGGTTGTTCAGCCTGGAGAGGAGGCGGCTCTGGGGAGACATTATATCCCCTTCCAGTACCTAAAGGGGGGTACAGGAAAGATGGGGAGGGACTCTTTATCAAGGAATGTAGCAATAGGATGAGGGGTAATGGTTTTAAACTGAGTGTAGATTTAGATTAGATATTAGGAAGAAATTCTTTACTCTGAGGGTGGTTAGACCCTGGACCAGGTTGCCCAGGGAAGCTGTGGATGCCCCATCCCTGGAAGTGTTCAAGGCCAGGCTGGATGGGGCTTTGAGTAACCTGCTCCAGTGGGAGCTGTCCCTGCCCATGGCAGGAGGGTTGGAACTAGATGATCTTTAAGGTCCCAACTCTAACTGTTCTACCATTCTATGATGTAGTAGCTCATGAGGGGTTTAGCAAGATTGTTGGAACATAGCCTTTTAGAACAAAAGCAAATAGATGTGCTGATCTGTCAGTAATTCGTTCTGAACAAACACCTTGTGTTGGGTTTGTGTAGGGAAATGCTGCACTTTGCTTAATAATGTTGCCTATAGGACCTTGCTAATTGCAAGGTTTTTATATCTTAAGAGTCTTGTCAGGTTTTGAAGCACCATTTGTCAGAAGCTGTGCCACTGCTGGGATGAGAGGAGGGATCACCAGGTCTGGTCAGGGTATCCTTGTCTCCTCCTTGTGTCCTCACAGTGAGTACAGCAGAGAAAAGTGTATTTCATGAGCAAGAGTGGTGAAAGAAGCCCAAATGGTGAATAGAAGAAAAGGCTAAAAGAATGGTGAAAAAAAGTGCTTGTTTCTCCTGTTGGACATTTCAGACTGAACACAGTTCTAGTGCTTCTCCCACAGCTTCCATTTATCTCTCAGCTCTCACCCAGTTCCCCCAGTTCCCTGGATAATGTAAAGCTACTTCTTCCTCTTGTGTTTTTTTGGTTTGGTTTTTGTTTCTTTTTGGTTTATTTTCACCAACATTTGCGCTGCTAAGTTAATGCAGCTGTTTCCTGTTTGCACTTTGGGTCCAGTCCTGCAATTAGGGCTTAACTAAGTGTGTCTTTATGTAGACAATAAGACTGTCTTCTCTGGAGTATCTTTGTGGAACAAGGGTGGTTTCTCGCTTGACTGAGGGAAAGAACTCAAGTAGGGAATAAAAATGATTGCTACTTTCTAGATAAGAATCTTGCATAGAAATGAAGCTAGGTTTAACAAAAATGAGAATTGTGTGTTTTAAACTAGCTAGAACATGTTTTAATTTTGGCTTTGCTTTTTTCTGGTATCATCTGAAATAATCTGACTCTTTGAAAGTTAGGCCTGTAGCTGACAAAAGCTGTCATGCACTAATAAGTGTGAAAAGTAGATAAAGACTTTAAGACAGAAATTAATTATTGATGCTGAGCTGTTAAGAGGTTTTTGGTAGATCATTGTATTTCCTTTATGTTCCTTCTCAAATTTCAGTTGTTTTTAATTCCCTTCTACCGAAGGGAATGAAACCAGAACCACTGGAGAAAAAAATTTGTGACGTGAAGGCATGAATCTTACATCAATCATTTCGCTTCTCACAACTTCATTAAGGGGGAAAGGGGTCTATAGTTCAATTTAAACATGTAAAATTGATAGATTTTTGCCAAGTTTATTTTGATTTTTCACTTTATCAATATATATTTGCGTACGTAAAAAATAAAATTATGAATGTTGTGTGAATCACGTGGCAAAATCATTTTCACTGAAGAATGTCACATATGCAAAAAACATAGAGGTGTCAGATTTATTTGGCAAGAATTTTGAATGTGTTACCCATAGTCAGAGAGATATATGATACATAGCTTATCTTAAATATTCAGCAGTTTTTATTATTGGGCTTATATAGGGGAAAAAGAAATAAGAAGTAGAAGGTGTTTGAGATATTCTGGATTGTGTTTTCCTTTCAATTTGTTAAGGTTTTTTAGAGAGCAAGTCATATTTTAGGAAGGAAAAGTGTTCTGTTTTAAGGCTTGTATCAGCTAGGAAGACGTTCACTGCATAATACATATGGTAGCCTCCCTACTGGTAAAATCTTTAAATTTTTTAATGTTACTGGCTAGCCCAAATGGCTCTCTGATTAAAGACTTCATGTTTATAAGTGTCCTATATCCTTAACCCATAGACTTTGTAGGGGTCAGAAAAGGAAACTTTCTAGGCTGTTGTTATAGCAAGATAAGTAATCCTGTTACAAAGGACAGACAAAAAGGAGAGTACCTTACTAAGGAGAGTACCCTTCCTTATGTATGTGGAGGGGAAGAGGAGGCATGAAGTCTTGTGCATTGAAAAAGAATATATGGAGTTACAGATGCCTGGGTTTAATGCAGATACTTTCAAAGACACTGCCTGAATGACTCTGATCTGACTGATTTGCTGCATGAGCTCCAGGACAGCAACATATATATTGCCCTGTGTTTATTGACCTCTTTTTTTCTTTCTCCTCTCTTTCCAGAAAAAACAAAGCCAGCCTCAGATGAGTCACAGCCACACAGTAGTGCCATCGGTCCTGTCATTGGTATAATACTGTCACTTTTTGTCATGGGAGGAATGTACTTTGTTTGCCAGCGAGTGGTGTGTCAGCGCTATGCTGGACCCAATAGTCCTTTCCCACACGAGTATGTCAGTGGCACCCCTCATGTCCCTCTTAATTTTATTGCTCCAGGAAGTTCTCAACATGGCACTTTTACTGGTAAGGATGGTAAGGACCTTGCATCTAATCAGTACCATTACACTGTCTGGATTTGGGGTTTTACAGGTTATTAAGAGTGTTAGATGCAGAGTTCTCAAAGAGCAGAAATTAGGTGTTGTTGATCTGCTCAGTGGTTTTGGTACAAATCTGTCATTTGGATCAGATATGCAAAAACTATTAGATGCATTTCATTAGGCATCTTGCCAGATTTTCAAATGCAGTTTGTGTGCTAGGCTGCATCTGTATAGGTATCTGTCTTTTTGATAGAAAATCTACCGTATTTTGCCAGTGAAAACATCCTCTTTAAATAATTCATTCTAGTATATGTAATGAAGCCTGGGTTTTGCATACTACTTCTTACCCAAAGCATGCAAAACACTATGAAGAGTTGTGAACCATGTGCAATATTGAAAACTAAAAAAACATGTGCCGTTCAGTGTTCTAGTGAGAGCTTTGTTGAGTTGTTCTTCGTTTCTTGTACTCAGATGTCCCTGTTTCTGTCCTGCCCATCAAAGGTCTTTACACAGTTTTGTCCTGTCTGCTCAGGACAGATAAGTTATTTCTCAGTGGAAAGAAGCAGAGGAAAGAAGTGAAGCAGATTAATTTACTATAATACAAAAAAGCAGGAGGTAAACCTGCCTCCCCAAAGTTTCAACAGCAAATGTGGAAGAACACAAGCAGTCTGGGTGTGGTTTTGTAGTCTGGCTGCTCATTGTCTGAAGTGTGATGAAGACACACCTCGGTTTAGCCCATCTCTGAGACAGCTTTCCTGTTAGCTTTTGGACAAAGTATTTACTCTCTCTGTGTCTCAGTCGTTCATCTGTAAAACAGCAAAGCTTCTCTACCTCACAAAGGACTCAAAGCATCCATTCAGAGCAGTGCATGCAGCTATGATGGAGGAAGGAGGACTTGAAGTATACATAAAAGCTTAGGATATTCAGCCGGTAGATAAGAACCGAGAAACCTCATATACACATCAAAGTAAACACTTAAATGATGTACCTCAAATTATTTTACAAATGTAAAATATACTTTTCATAGAGGAAACAGCAAATTCTTAACTACAAAGCCCTGAGAAGAAAGAATATCTCTTCACATTATTCAGGAAGCTGGAAAGTAAATGTTCGCCTGTAAACCTGCCAGACAGGGTCAGAATACAAGAAATCCATACTTTGGCGTGCTTGGAGTCTGCTTTTCATTCCAGCTGAAAATCAGATAGACAATGAACTTAAAGACAAATGAAAAGATGTGGCACTTCTTCATATCATTATTTTTTGAGATGTGCTAATTGTTGTTTTCTTCTAGCCATGGCTTTGAAGATAGCGAGATGCAAGTTAGGTTTAGCCTTTCTCACACTTTAATAACTAGGGTCAGCTGTTTCTGCTTAAATTATGTTTTTATGGTTATCAAGAGGTTTCTGTGGTAGGAAATAAAATTTGAGGATTAAATCATTGCAGGTGAAATCTTTGCAGTGGTGTTTTAAATTCAACTTCACACTAAAGCTTTTTTAATTAAAGCAAGTATCAGTGTTTTTTGTCTGTACATCTGTAGGCGCTAAACTAAGATTTCATTTATATTTGTTAGTTTTTTCTAATCCATATCCCTGTGACAAGTTATAACAGCTGAAAATCCTACCGTTGATTTTAATTCTAAAGAAAAGACACCGTGGCATTTCCAAAAAAGATAAATAGTCATGAATGATGATCACAGAAAGAGTGACTCTGCTTGTAATAAATATTTCCTGCATCTGAAAAATTTCTGAAAACTTCCCAAACTAAACTATTCCATAAGCACTGAATAGTCTGACAGGAAGAAGCTGAAAATGTATTGTCTGATTTAAGTATATATTGGAATAGAACAGATTGGGGAATGTTGTCTTCCCTTCTCCGGTCACCTAGGTTTCCTTCCTTTTGCCTCTGCTGATTTTCAGTTTAAGCAGTGATTTTTTTCAGTAAAAATAATTATTTTTTGCTGTTGTTCATGTACTTACAATTTAATTTCTTTAGGTGGAAATGAAAACCTTGGAGGTCTTAGCTTGTTTTTCTCGGGCAATGTGTAATGCTTTTTTTTTTTGCCTCAGTTTGTTTAATTGGAAAATTTCTTAGTTAACAATTTGGGTGAAAAGTTTCAGTCAAGTTTTCTGGAGATTCTTTTCTCAGCAGAGTGTGAGAGCAGGTTGTGAGGCATTCAGTGCTGTAGTGAGACAATAGGTGGTCTGGGGTGAGATGTTTTCTTTACAAAATATGTTGTTCCTTGTAATCCTGAAGTTCTTACATAAAACACTGTTCCCAAAGTGACAACCAGTAGCATTGCATGGGTTTGCCAAGCTGTGAATTTGTTTTCTGTTTTGCGTTGGTAGATAAAATTGTGATTTACCTAATGTTGCTTTCCTCTCTGTCTCACTGCAGGCATCTCTTGTGGAAAGTCCATGATAAGCTCCATGAGTCTCATGGGAGGAAGCAGTGGTGCCCCCTTGTATGACAGAAACCATGTTACTGGAGCCTCTTCGAGTAGCTCATCAAGCACTAAAGCCACTTTCTACCCACAGGTATGTCTTGAAAATATACCTGCAAGTTAGATATCTCCCATTTCTGAAGAAAAGGAAGATGAAAATTGGTGCTGCTAAATAGAATGTTAATAATGTTTTTTCTTGGGCGTTACTGTTTATGATATACAGGCTCCATCTGACACCCACTGAACATAGAATCATAGAATGGTTTGGGTTGGAAGGGACCTTAAAGATCATCGAGTTCCAACCCCCCTGCCATGGGTAGGGACACCTCCCACTAGAGCAGGTTGACCTTCATGAAAGGGCTTTGTTGTAGTCCATCAGGATTACACAATGCTATACAGTGTCTAAAATATTTTGTTATTAGAATGATACCCAACTGGGTTGTTCCTTGGCACTTCTTTCTTGACTCCCTTGGAGAAGCCACCTCCTTTGTTCTTTATAAACCCTGGTGACAGTGGCCCAATGACATTTTGCACTGCGTAACACCGCAAAGATACATGGAATAAAAAGACAGACAAAATGTGACAGGACTGGAACGCAAACACATAAGGAATAAACTTGGCTTGCTGTTTAGATAAAGTATCGATTGTTGCACGCAGAAAACTACCTGCGTGCACTGGGAGAAAACACTGGTACCAGCAGAGGTTTCTTTGGTGGGTTTTTTCAGCTGTATTTTAGCTCCATTTCTGGCTTTCAACTGTTGGAAGTGGCAGATTTTTAATCCCCATGTTAGAGTTACATAAATTCAAAGATGCATAGTATGTTTCTCTAAGAATATGTAGGAGAGACATACAGAGGTTACTGTTTGCCAGCATTTTGTCAGGTGACAGTTTTTTCCGTAGTGCTTCTGAGCAATACATACATTCAGTCTTCTGTTCACACAAGCTTGCAGGGTCAGTCTGGTAGCTACTGAGCAGATTTTTCAGTAGTATTTAATCAGGATCCCACATACTTGTGGGTATACGTGCATTTGTGTTTGCACGTAAACTGTTAGGGGCTTTTTGATTTATAGTGTTTTCACCAGTGGCAAATGTGCTCTATCTCCCCTTTAAGAAGGACAAGGACGGGAGAGTGGGTTGTGAGCTTATCTACTGATAAGGTAATGTTGGTTACTTCTTTCTTGCATTACCTTCTCAATGAAGCCATCAAGAAGCTAGCCACAGCTAAAAGATATTTGAAACTCAGCAGCCCTCCTAATTGTGCTTGTCCCATGCTTCACTCATGTCTCTGTAACATGCTGAACAATTTCATGCTAATATCTGATTGATGCGTCAGTGCCACACTAGAAAGGATGAACAGAAAAAACTTAGTTGAATTTATATAAAAAAACCCCTTACTTAAATTTTGAAAGAGGAAATAAGCCCAAGAGCTGATCTGCCTTTGCCATTCTATAGAATCAACTATTCTATGGATCAACTCTTTTGTTTGACTTCTGTCTAATCTAATCTGACTGTTACTGGGAATTCTTCTTCCACATTTTCCACTCCGGGCTATGCCAGCCAGGACCAGCAGGGATGATATCAGCCTTTCCTTCAGGCATGCTGAATTCTTAGAAGGAAGCTGTTGCAAGGGCTTTGTTACATTCAAGTTACTGCATAATCCAAATATTTTGGTCAGTTCTATCTAGAAGATTATCACCCAGCTTTAGGTTAATAATAAAAAGGAGAGATCTTGGCTTTTTGTTTTGTTTTGTTTAACACATCTTAGTGGTACTAAGAGATGGTACAATGAATAGACAAACACGAAAAAATGGATCCCACTGGAGTTATGCCAGTTTATATACCTGAGAACCTGACTGACACTCTGTTTGCTGTATTTAATCTGAATGTGAAGGCGTGTTGATGCAGCTCAGGGTGCCAGTGGGAGAGAATCCAGAAGTAGTATGGAGTGCTCCTCAAAGGAAGAGGATTTCTCTTGGGGCAATTACTCATGGTTCCCCACTTCTGGCAATGGATGGTATTCAAGCTTGTCTGCCCTCACATAAATCTGGATGCAGGGCTGGTCGGTTTTAGGAATGACAAGCTCAACTCAATGGCCAAGAATCATTTTGCTATGCGCTGCACAGTGAAGACCAAAACAGTGATCTCCACTGCAGTGATTTTACCGTATTATTATGAGAGAAGAGCAGAGGCAGAGGAAGGATGCTATCATGGCCGCTGTGGCAGGCCATGGCTTGGCAGAAGGCCCAGGACAGGCTGTGTACAAGATGCTCACATCAGTAGCAAGGCCCTACCATCAACAGCAATGCTGTAATTTTCCACATTGGAAGGGATGAAGCGCTCTCCTCATTTTTAGGCCAATGTCCCGCTGGCCATGTTTGGCTTCCTGCTAGGGAATCCAAAAGAATTATGAAGCATAATTAACTGTTTTCCTGGTGTGAGGGTTACCAGCAGCCATACATACGCACACAGAGGCCAGTGCAGACTATAACTATTTGTTAGCTCTTAGGCTCTTTGCATTGTGAACTGTGCCAAAATGATACGTTCACAGAACAGCAGTAAAAAGGAAGTATTCAGGGAAGGATGGAGTTGTATTCGTTATAGAAAAGGAAGTTGGCCTCCTGACCCTACTGTTGACTGAGGGTCTGCTGAGGGGCTGGGAGTGGAACAGACTTCACTTCCCATTAGCATCTGCTGAGGGTGATATCAGTCCTTCTGTCCAAGGAAGTGCACTGACATTCAGCAAACGTGAATTTCCAGCTTTACCCCAGCCTTCCAGCATAATAGCAGATGTGGTAAGGAAGAAAATTCCCTCTGCTATGAGAACTTTGAAGGCCTGCAGTGTACCTAAGCCCAGAGTAAAGTCTCATAGTGAACTTTGGTGATCTTGAAAAATGCATAAACCCACCCAAACAGCAAGGAGAGGAAACTAAAATAAGGATGACTGACAGGGTGAAGGTATAAATAATATTTTCAAAACAAGTAGAGTTGTATAGTTAACCCAAACTTTCGCATTGCTTTTTCCTGCTCTTCCTAGATCTTGAACCCACCTCCTTCCCCAGCTACGGATCGCTCCCTGTATAATGCAGAGATGTTTTATTCCTCAAACATTCCTTCAACCACGAGATCTTACAGGTACAGCTCAAATAAAAATGTTTGATTGATCTTCTATTTATCTGTCCTTTAGGTTTGGATCTTAAGCAAAATGTTCTTGTTTAGACTTTACCTTGTTGAAAAAAAACCTTTCCCTCTCTTAATAAATGACCACCAAAATGGAGGGTATGCCAGTTTTGATGTTAAACATTGGTTTAGAGACTTTCAATAGAGTGTTGCTGAGTAGTAATGCAATATATATAGGTTATATTGCTATGTAACAGTCACATAGCATCCTGTATAGAGAAGGTTGGTGTTTTCTGTTCAGTTCCTCAAATTTATCTTAAAATTCTTTGATGAGCCAACCGATTTGTTAGTAACTGGACTAAACAGTCATAGAAGTCTCCTGCCTGGTCAGAAGCTGAAAGAATGCACTAATGGCTGAGGGTAGTTGTGCCATTCAAATTTAACACAGTTCAGGTACTTCTTGTTGGGTTCCTATGAAAACCTGTTCATTTTCAATCTCTTTCTTTTTCTTTCTTTTTTCCCCAGATTGCAACTAATACATGTGCTTGTTTGTTGTTTGTTTTTTTAGGCCATACCTTATACGAGGGATAGCTCCACCCACAACCCCATGCAGCACAGATGTTTGTGACAGTGACTATACTACTAGTCGATGGAAGGCCAACAAATACTATATAGATTTAAATTCAGACTCAGACCCTTATCCCCCTCCACCCACTCCTCGCAGTCAGTACATGTCGGCAGAAGAAAGTTGCCCTCCGTCTCCTGCCACGGAACGAAGCTATTTTCACCTTTATCCCCCTCCACCCTCTCCTTGTACAGACTCCTCATGACCTCAACAGAAGGAACTTTTCCTGTAAATATTTTAAAATATGAACAGATTTAAAATATATATTTTATGATTTAAAAATAAATCATGGGGGGGAATTTAAAAAAAGAAATGTGAATAAAAATGGGTTGGAGGGATGGGGCTGTGAAAAATTGTACAGAGGAAGAATATTTATAAAAATGATTTTTTTAACTTAATTTCCATTCTTTTGTGCCATATTTGCCTTTTTGAAGTCATGAAAATGACTCAGTCTCCAAAGGATTTGGGGAGGGAATGTTGGAGCCTTTTTGCATTTTTACGTCACTTTCTACACGCAAAGTATATGTAATTCTTTTTACTAATGTAAGACAAGAAAGAGAAGTGGCTTGTGGGAGGAGGAGTCTAAAGAAAGACGTAAGTTTATTCGCAGAGAAGAAAAACACTTTTAATAATCAGTATCTCATCCCTTTACCACCATTGGGAGAAAACATGCAAAGATCACAACCCTCAGATGCTCCTTTTTGCAAGTTTGCTGAATGCTTCCCAGCAGAACTCGTATGCTGAGACCTGGATTTCAAACCTCAGCATTGAACTGGAAGAACACTTCTTTTGGCCAAACCTTCCATCTTAACTAGGCCCACAGGCATCATGCCCTACCTCATGTCAGTGCCACTCTGCACACGGCCAATTCTGGAACTGATTCAAGCTAAAAAAAGATATCCAGCTCTAAAAAACGTGGTGTAGGTCCAATCAGTTCCACACTTGACTGGGTGACTGTAAGCAGGAGCCGTGGTATTGACCTGTGGGTGGGAGCAAGGGGCAAGTTTTAAGTGGTATTTAAGCTAAAAGAAATGCTTGACAAACTGCAGGTTTGGTCAGACTTACCGTTTTAATTGTGATGAAACCAAGCTACTTCATCCTTCCTTGTGAGGCTTTCTTGACTGGGAAGCGGCTGTAATAGTCGGCTGCTTCTCAAAATAGAGTGCTAATTCTCTTTTTCATGAAGTCCCGTAATTCACTGTGCCAGGTCTCTGAGGTGTTTACCTGTGTTGACTTGATCAGAGAATTGCTTCATCTATAATAATGTTCATTTTCCAAAGTGGAATGATATTCATTTCATGGTCCCTTGTGTTCATTTAAATGAGGGAAGTTGTTTGTTTTTTAAGTGATGTTTGTAGAAAATGGTATCTGCATAGCTCTAAACAAAAACTTCTGCCATTCACAGTTTAGTCATATTTCATAAGAATTTGCCACAATATTAGTTCAGGTTTAGAAATAAACAGAAAAAGCACAGGGGGGAAGGAGAGGAGACAAATACTTCTTTCTAATTGTCTTGAAATAAAAAAGATAAACTCTTACACGAACTGCTGTAACTTAAGGACATCATGATCAGCAAAGTGCTTATGTTCCCAACTCCTACCAAAAAACCACCTTTGGGAATGGGGGGCTAGGCTCAGTTCCTTTCAAAATGCAGAAGATAAATTTTGCTTTGATTGCTCTCTTGCTCTAACAAAAGGGGCTGGGTATTGTATGGCACTTTATAAATTCGGCTCTGGTGATGATAATGTGAGTGCCTGCCTGGGACATCTGAGGGAGGTTCTGAATATACATACTCGCACCTGTTTCTGCAGCTGCTGAATAACAGATGTTTTTGGCCTTTGACAGCCTTAATATTGTTGGCAACAATGAAAACTTTTTCTTGTTTGAACTGAAATTGTACTTGGTTTTGGGTCTGTTTAGCAAGTTATTTGAGAGCACATCAGAGGAACTCTGTAACTCTGGGACAGAAGTCTTTGTTGTGCTGGTGGAGGGACTGGGACCACAGTGTTCTGATCCAGTTTGTGTTTTCAGATTTATTCGTCCTGATCTGTTCTTCCTATCTACATTGTTCAAGGATAGGAAGTGCTGTCCCTGGTGTGTTACTAAACCTCTTAAAGCAGCTTTTACTACCTTCGTGTCTAAATTTTCAAAATTGGAGAATACAGCACTGGAGTTTAAGAATGGGTTCTTTGCCCATCACCTATCAACATTAGTAATTCTGTAATATGCCAAGAGGGACAAGGTCATAGTACGTAACTCTTAGAGTGACTTGGCAGATCTCTGAACAAGTGATAATGATTTGGTGAAACAAAGCAATTCTCATGTGATCATGTTTCAGTGAACTAAATTAGGAATATAGATCCACAGGATATTTTATGTACCACATTGATCATATAAAGGAGTACTTGTTCTGCATTACAGCCATGGGTAGTCCAATTTCATATCATATGTAATTTTGTGCGTGATAACTATTCACCATTTATAATTAATTCATTACTGTAGTTTTGTATTACAGTTCTTAGAGACATACTACATTAATTTTCCTGTATTCCTGTGATGACACTGGATGCAAAATTACATTGTCTTTTTTTTTTTTTTCATTAAACCACTTATCTTTTTAAAGAGCCACAACTGTAACAATCCTAACCACTTCATCTGAAGACTTGTATCCTATTACAAAGTTTGGAGTTGTGTCCAAGAAAAATTAGCATTTTTGCTGAGAGCTAAACTGTCTTAAGAGTCAAATTCTTTTGGAGCCTGGGTATTCAGCTGGAAGGAAGTGCTTGCTGAATGGGGTGAAATAAGCATGTACATTTTGGTTTCAGTTGGACATTCATAGCCTCTTGCTGCTGATGTTTGCTGAGAAATTGCCTCTGAGGCACTTGAAGTTTGGTGATCAGAATCTAAGCCCCACACTGCTCCAAAATACTGACTTTGAAAGCCTCTTCTAAAAAGAATTTTTATACAAATTTAGTATCTTAACATTTAAATACTAAATATTATTTTTGATTGGTGTATAGTATGTCCTTTAAAAGGGTTACTTCACTCCTGGTGCTACAAAAGACCAGCAAGAAAATATGAGTGACAGGAGCTACTTCTCTCCAGAAGTATCCTCAGTGTGTTATTAGTGGTTTCTCTCCTGTGAACATTCAGGCTAAAACATAGAAAATAGGTGCTATTTTCTTCTAGATCAAGATGAGAGAAAGAGTTGCAGGGAATTAGTGAATGCCTATGACAAGTTGTGGCAGTTCAGGGTAGAAGAGGAAATAAGTGGGGAAACGTTGTGTTTTGGTGAGGTTTAGGCATAGTTTTAATAGTGCAAAAGTTTTCTGTGAGAAAGCCGACCGAAATATAGTAACAGTTCTCCCCCTGAGAACCTGCAGGGGGAGGCATGTGATGGGACTGCCTGTGTGAGCTTGTGAGTACTTGAATCAGTGTTTTCAACCACTATTTTCTAAGCCCATTATGACTGCATATTAGCACTTGAAACAGCTCAGGGTGTAATGTAGATCTGTGCCTGGAGAGCAGCTAGTAATGGGCCAATGATATGGTTGATTCTTTGTTAGATTTAAAGCACACGTGTCCTAGCAGAGAGCGGGGTACCTGCCTTCCAGTGCAGTCTGAAAGCAGCTACTTGGGTTGTCTTCTCTTTTGTAGAATTTGTCTTATCTGCAGGACAGGGTGAAGCTGTAAGGAAAATGGACAAGTCATTATCTTCAACAGAGAAGTATTCTTTAATTTCAAGCAAGTTTCGTGTAAATTATAGCTTGACTTTACTTCAGCTGGACTAATCAACAGCCACTGCACCCTGAAATTTGCAGTAGAGGTAGTTTGTTCATTATTGCTGGATGATTTTGAGGAAACTTCATTAGCACTGTCCCAGCTGTCTTTCTGGTTCAGTTTTTTTCTGTCTGGACAGATAGCTGAAGAGCATTTAATCTAAGATTAAGCTAAAACTGTATGTGTGACAAATAATGTTTTCGTTAGGGTAGTGTCGTAGTACAAAATGCCCCATGTCTAAAAATGAGACAGTGCCCTTATCAGCACGTTCTAAAGAGAAAGGCGGAAATGAGTGGGAACAAATTTCTTCTTTTCAAATAATGTCTTTGATTTTCAGTAATAAACCTTGATCTCTCTGATTTGCAAAGGGTCAAGCATTTCCCTAAAAGTTCTGATTCTTTTCAAAGTAACAATAAAATGATGTCTTCCCTCAACATCTGTTCTACACACCTAGGATCGGCCTTCTAGAAATCTCCAGGCCCATTTATCCTAGATCTCTTTTCCATCTGATATCTTGGTCATATGGTAGATCTAGGGCTCCTCGTGTTCTCCCCATTTTTATGCCGACTGGTGCCTCTTGGATTCTGGAGCTTTTGAAATTCTGAAGCTCTGTGCACAGCAGTGAAAAAGGATTTGAAAGCAGGAGCACTCCATAAGGGCTGGTCACACTGGGTTGATGTGCCAGTCACAAGGACATTGCTCCATTGCCTATAGGGTCAGATCCCTTTGCCGGGGAGAGCTCCTGTGGTACCCTTCACCAGAGCTTCTTAAGCATGTTGTACCACTTTACAAGTGTGGTCACTCAAACTTCACAAAAGTTGTGTGTCCTGTTTGCTTCAAGCATTTTCAGAAGCAGATCTTTTCTGATGTCAGTTATTTTGTTGGGGTGTATGTTGTGTCAGTCCAAATGAGTAGCTGTGCTTATAATTGTACTACAAGTGATACCCATTAATGTCAGGAAATGAAAACAGAAGGCAAGCATGTTCCCAATAATTAATAACACACAAGAGTGCCTGGCATGGAGCCCCAAATTAGAAGTAACGTATTTGCTATTAGAGTGCTGAGGGACATTTTATAGCCATCCATGTTTGGACCGAGCCTTAGATAAGCCGCAGTCAAAGATGATAGTCATTTACAGATCAGATCGTTTTGTTTCTGTGTTTTTATTATGAGTCCATTATGAATTATGAGTGCAGTCCTCACCATAGATTTGGCTTGTCTGTAGAAGATTCAGGGAAGGCTGAATCCTAAATTCCGAGAGGTATCTGCTGGTTCTGCTGCTGTTCCCTTAGGTATTGCAACACTTTCTGTTCATTAAATGTAAAAACCCCTTTCTTCAGCTATTGTAAGTTTAGCTAAACATTTTAAGGTATTTACCACATATTAAATATTAATATGCATAGATATTTTCAATTCTGTCATGTCCTCTAGCTCGCCTTCCTGAGAACACTTACCCTAGTTTTTGTAAAGGGTATTTTTCATTAATTTGTTTATTTTGAGGTTGGCCAACTATGCTCTGGGTCTTTTCACATAAGATCGTCCTCCCTGGAGGGAAAAATGGAGAAATTGCTTTTAAGTCAGTGTTATGCCTGCTGATAGGAATGATGGAAACCAGTCT